TGACGAATTGTGTGTCTGTGACACCTTGACTCATAATATAGCTAATCGATAGGTTTTGTTTTAAGTGTAACAGTTGTATGTATGTAACATAAAAACATCAAGTCTCACTTTTCATGTTGGTCCTATTATATGTCTTGTGACCTCTTCGTAGACAGACCTAAAATAATATCGGTTTAAATGTGTAATTTTCTTATGCTGTTCTTAAACAGCATTTTATTCTTAAACTTTAGCAATAGATCGGAAGAGAGGGTTTCTGTATCTGTTTTAAATGGCTCATGTTGTATTTACTTTTTTTTTTTTTTTTAGCAATTTGACCTCTAGAATTTGCTTTTGTGCAATTTTATCTGCAGGATTTACCAAAGTGTGGAACTTTGTTTAACAAACCTCATGCTTTAATGAATACGCATCTCTCAGTGCAATAGTCAAATGTGACTTTGCCGTATGGTTTTAAGTGTAAAACAGCATATATAGACCACATCATAGATAGATGGGGGAAGTTGACCTAAACAAAGTATCAGCTTAGTCAAATATGCTCAAACAGAAAGACTATTACTTAAATGAATTGTCATTTATTCCTATAAAACGCAGAATGTTGACAGCTCTTTAAGAAAAGTCTTCACCTAAAAACATACAGTCCTACATACATACTGTGAAACAGTATCATCTGCTGTCTGAACAAGATGACTAAATCTATCGGCGTAATAGAACCGTCATTTGCACACTTATGTGTGTTTATTATAAACAGCTTTTCAACCCTCTTATACCCCGTACACACGGTTGAAGTAAATTTACCTCTTGTATTTCCTTTTGTACAAACATAAATCCTGTATAACGATTGTTTGAATTTTACTCATAGTCTTTACAAGGACCTGTAACTTTATTGTTCTTAATGTGTTTGCATTACAATACTGTGGCATATAGTTCCTCTAACAAATCTGTCGGAAGAGCAAAAAAAAAAAATTACGAAGATTTATAGCACATATAGTAACTTTATTTGAGTCAAAGAAGGTGATGATACCAATTAAAAACAAACTAATCTTTAATGCTAAGCGGGACGTTGAGCAACTTAATATAATATTAAGTATAATATAATATGAAATACTGGTTTTGTCAAAAGGAGAAAGTTCAGTCATTTATAAAAAAAAAAAAAAAAAAAAAAAGCCTCTTAAATGTAAGCCATGCGTTCATCACACATGTTTTCCCATGTGCGGAACAGCATAAACTTACATCGTTTCTGTCTTCACCTAAAACAAAAACAAAAAAAAAGAAAGAAATGTGAACAGTGTCATCTCAACAAGATGACTATGTCTAGTGGTGCGATAAAAAAGCCTTTGCAAAACCATATTTACAAAACATGAAACAAAAGTACAAATTGCTCAACATTTGAGTTTTCTATGTATGCATCATAAACAATGTCTGTATGGCGTAATTTATTTTCTTAGTGATTTGGGGTCTTGAATTTACATGGTGATATATGCACACTTCATTATTTCTTTTCATTTTGCCAGAGTGTGGAACATTATTTACCATTATTAAAGTTGATGAAATGAATCAATGTATAGCTCTCAGTGCAATAGTCAGATGCGATTCAGTTGTAACAGATTAAGTGTAAAACTTAAACTAAAAGCATAACTTATTTTTCGTGTTGATGCTTTGTGTAAACTGAAATCATAGATAGCTGTAAAGTTGCATTGCAAGAAATATCAATTTAGTCAAACACTCTCAAGCAGAAATACTATCACTTAAATTCTTAATTTACATTTATTCCTATAAACACTGAATGTTGACAGTTCTTAAAGAAGAGTCCAACAAACAAAATATTTTAACAAAATATCTGAATAAGACGAATAACACTAGTGGAGTGATAAAAACACTACTTACAAAACAAAATGTACCAACTTTCACATTTGTTCACAAATGGATTTTGTGTATTTATTATAAATCTTGCTTTTCAATGTATGCTGTGCCCTCTTTTCTTACTGATTTGGTCTTTTGAATCTTACAGATGTTTTTGGACACACATACAGTAACTATATAAAGATTATGTTTGAAAGTTATTCAAGAGTGTGAAAACTATGTATCACTGCGGTGTGAAATACCCCCTGTCAAAATATGTTAGCGTGTAAAAATACGCACAAAGAGTTTAGCAGTACTATTTACACACACACACACACACACATTGTTAGCGTGTAAAAATACACACAAAGAGTTTAGCAGTACTATTTACACACACACACACACACACACACACACATTTTTGGAGGATGTGTAATAGAGCTCATCTCTTTAATTTTGTGCTGGATGTTTAAAGTGCAAGTGACTTCTATGATGTTTTGTAGCATAAAGATTTATCTGGATCACTCAACATAAAGTTTTGTTTTCTGACCTCACAGAGATTACACTAAGATTTGATTTCTTGACTTTTGCTTGTTTGCACTGTGCCCCGGATCTTAGGAATCAATGTGTGGTTGTTACACACCTCAGGTATAATTTGAAATGTAGGTTTGTCAAAAGAAAAAGGTTCAGTCATACATTTTCTAGCGAAAATTGTGTTTTACTCGTGTGAGGAAACTGCTCGGCTACAGTTCTAATACCAGTTGCTGGTTATCAGTCTGTTTTAAAGAATACAATAAAGTAAAAGTTTTATTTAAAGAAAATAGACAACTTTCCTTGCTTTTTGTGGCAAACAAATGTATAAATGTCTGAACATTTAAAATCTCTTAGTTTGAAGTAAAATATGTAAATCTGTTGTTGTTTTGCAACACACACACACACACACACACACACACACACACACACACACACACACACACACACACACACACACACACACACACACACACACACACACACACACACACACACACACACACACACACACACACACACATACACTATGGGTTGGGGTAAAAACTAAAACATTTTCTTTAAAAAATACTAAAATAACAAAAATTGATATACACTAAAAATGTTTTTTGTGTGCGAGCCCAGAGAATCACCAGAAAAGCTTTTGATGAAGTGTCATTCTTTAAACATCCAGCCTAAGCAACTGTCGTAAAACCATTAACAAACCCCATTTAGGTTGCTCTCTTCCCCCGCCAGTTCCACTTGTAAACACCTTAACTGTGATTTTAGAAAAATGTTTTGATTCTTTGTCTTAAGTAACATAAACCTATAGTTCAGGTACTACATCCTACTGTGGCACACACACACACACACACACACACACACACACACACACACACACACACACACACACACACACACACACACACACACACACACACACACACACACACACACACACACGTAGGGCTAATGGTATTCCTGAATGCCTTGACTTAAATGTTTTGACTCAATTAACATATAGGCTACCTTACAACAAAGGTTTTCAACACTCAGGGTGCCACCATTACGTGATACCTGCTTGGGTGAATTTCACCCCCAACAATCAAAGGAAAATACAATCAGCAACAGTTTCCCCCCAGCTGACTGGAAGGAGCCCAGATTTTTGTTGACACATGGAGTCTCTGTCAATCATGAGTGACAAGGGGTGCCTAAATCTACCAAAAGATGGTCATAAAATCAAACAAAAGGTTTTTTTGTCTTTTAAAAGTTTCCCGGATCTCACCAAAGGAGGATGTCACACGGCTCCAAACTTCCTAGACATACAGGAGCCTGTCAGCTACCACCGTAAATCAGAAACACTGTTTTCTTGATACAAGAACACTACGACAGTTGACAGGCACACAACTCTGTACCAACATAGGGTCATAAATCAGTCAAAAAGTGACACATGGTTTATGTTAACACTACTAACATGAAAGCATATTCTTGTACACCCCAAAAACAAAATCAAGACTTCTTTAAAGGGCATAATAATAACCCTTTACAAAGAGCATATTGCTAAATATCTGCACAATTTTAGCTTGTATATTAATTATATTTTACTTATATTTGACTTACTTTTACTTAATTATTGAATGTTTAAATACATTTTTCAATTCACATTCATTTGTATAGCGCTTTTCACAATACACAATTTAGAGGGATCCGTTATCAGAGGTGATTGTCAAAATTGTACATATACAAATAACAGTTAGCAAAAAATGTATTAATTTAAACAATGTAATAATTTAAGGCAGAAACAATAAGTTAATTGAAGTAATGAATACTTGTTTGTTAACAAATGATTATAGCATATAGAAAATTGTAGAAATGTCATGAAAAGCACTGTGTAAATGATTATATTTCAACAACGAATTTAGTGTAAATAATTGATTTTTTGCATTTTACATGTTTGCATTCAATTTTGTTGATCTAAAAATAAATAACAATTGAATGTAATACGTTGGGATCTGTTGTTAATTACAAAACTTACTGAACCCTGATTTCAAAACTGGGGTACATACCGAATCGTCATTTTTGTGTACTGTTACACCCCTAGTATATAGTGCTCAATGTGTGTATACTGTATTTATACAGATAATGTTGGACGTCGTACTTGTATATCCAACTTTATATAAAGAGCTGGGCAATAGTCTAGTTAGATTTTGCGATAATTAAAAAAATCAAGCAGTTGAGGTTTGTTATACAGCTTTACGAGAGTACTGCATGTTTTTGGATAAAGTTAGATATACATCCAACTTTATACAGAGAGCTGTGCAATTATATAGTTTCAATATTTAAAAACGTTATAGGAAGCAACCTAAAATTTTAAAATGAATGTGACCAAAACATTCAGTAAGTTTAAATATTTTGATTTACATAAACTTTGAGAAATGTTACAACTGAGGCAGGAATTTTGTACAACCAAAGTAAACCATTTTGGAAATGTTGTTCAAACTGTAGATTTTCCTTAGGTAGCATCAAAACGTCAATATGAAGTTTTTACTATGAATACAAAACCAGACCGAACTGTTTTTGTGGAACATTTGGTTTAGGTTTTATATGATTTTACATGATTTGCATATTTAAATAAAAAAACCTGTTTCTCTCAGGCTGTAGCTGGACAGTCTCCTGTGATTGTGGTTGGAACTCATGCAGATGTGTGTGAAGAGCGCCACCTACAGGAGTGTGTTCTGAAGCTGCGAGAGGAGCTGCTGTCTCAGACCGGGTTTCCAGTGATCAAAGAGAACCACATGATATGTGCCTGTGAGGAGTCCGAGTCCATCAACAAGTTACGCAAAGCCATCTACAGAGAGCTCATTGAGTTTAAGGTGATTTACAAATTCATGGCACTTATTAGCAAACATTATCAATTAAATAAAAAAAAATTAAACACCATGAAGTTATCATTAAAGTCAATATCAATATAAATAGTCTGCTATATATACATTTTTCTGAAGCCATACATTCTTATAAAGTATACTATAGAAATAAGTACAATATGGAAATTATTTCAAACAATCAATCAACATTTATTTATACAGCCCTTTACAACACTCAAGGTGAACCAAAGTGCTTTCCAGAAAGAAAAAATTATAAAAATAAAAAATATATATATAATGACAACAATATAATGCAAAATATATATACAAAGTATATAAAGCCACAAAACAAAATATAAAAACAAAATGTATGTCACAAAGCAAACACAAAATGCCACAACAACTGCTATGAATTAAAATCCAGTCTAAATAAATAAGTCTTAATCTTAGCCTTAAAGAGGCCCAAGTCAGTGATTAAACGTATATAAACAGGTAGCTTGTTCCAAAGGCTTGGCCCAGCTACAGAAAAAGCCCGGTCACCCCAGAGTCTGTACCTTGTCCTTGGGACTTCCAGCAAAAGTTGATTTGTTGAGCCCTGTTTGATTGACGCAAAGTTAACATCTCAGTTATGTACGGTGGTGCAAGGCCATTGAGAGCTTTAAAACAAACAATACAATCTTAAAATCAACTCTAAAAGAAACTGGAAGCCAATGGAGCGAAGAAAGAATTGGAGTTATATGCTCACGTTTGCGTGTATTAGTTAGTAGACGGGCTGCTGTGTTCTGCACCAGCGGAAGGCGCCTGCCCTAAGTGATGACAGTGGGACTCCAACATAAAGCGCATTACAATAATCTAGTCTTGAACTAATAAAAGCATGAATAGCTTTCTCAAGATCGAACGGTTTAAATATGGTTTTACCTTGGCCAATAGTCGTAGCTAAAAAAAACTAGCTTTAACCAAACTGTCAATTTGTTTATCAAATTTCAGGCTACTATCAAAAGTCACACCGAGATTTCTGATAGTCGGTCTAAGCCTCGAAATTAGCGTGTTAGGGTCGGAGGTTGCAGACTCACCAAATAAAATATATTCAGTCTTATCTTCATTCAAATTAAGGAAATTTTGCTCTAACCATAATTTAATGTCATCAATGCAATCAATTAGTGACCCAATTGCATCAGTATTTTTTGTAAATTTGCAAATCATCAGCATCGCAGTGATAAGCTATGTTATGCCTGGCTATGATGGACCCAAGAGGCAGCATGTAGAGCGAAAATAAAACCGGTCCGAGAATAGAGCCTTGTGGCACCCCGAGAGAGAAGTAGTAGAGGAGGACGAATTCCCAATCACTACAGAAAAGGTTCTGTTGGTCAAATATGGCGAGAACCACTGAAATGCAGTACCCTTAATGCCTACATAGTGATGAAGGCAAGACAGAAGGATTGCATGGTCCACTGTATCAAAGGCCGCCGTGAGATCAAGGAGCACTAAAATAACAGGGCTCTTGACATCAACAAACCGAGCAATATCGTTGTGCGCCTTTAACAGTGCAGACTCAGTACTATGTTGTGATCCTGATTGAAATTTCTCAAACAGAGTTATTAGAAACTGGCCTGACAAAACTGAGGGTTTCAGATTTGTTTTTTTAAGAAAAGGCCTAACCACAGCATGTTTGAACACAGCAGGGAAAGATCCTGAGCTAAGACATTTATTAATAAAAACCAACTGGAAAGGCTCAACTGTGGTAAAAACCTCTTTTAACAATTTAGTTGGAACAAAGTCCAGGGGGCAATTTGTAATTTTCATTTGTTGCACTACTTCATTAAAAAATGACTGGTAAACTGTTCAAACACAGCAGAATGTGCTGCAGCGATAACTGAATCAGTTACAGAACTACTAGTCGTGAGTTGTCTGACAGACTCCACTTTGTTAATAAAAAAGTGAAGAAAATTCTCACAAGTGGAGACTGAGGCATCTGTCAGAGAACAAGAATGTGGGTTTACAACAGAATTAATTGTATTAAACATCAACCTTGGACAATGCCCACTATTTGTGATAATATTTGACAAGTATTTAGATTTTGCCTCCTTTACAGCCCTTTGATAATCAAAAAGACAGCCCCTTAATATTTCCAAAGACACATGTAAGTTGTCCTCCTTCCATCTCCGCTCTGCCTATCTACAGCGCTGCCTAAGGGTGCGGGTGGTATCATTTATCCAAGGATCTGTTCTTAACTTAGGAGATCTGTGTTTGTAAGGAGCAATAATGTCTAGAATTTGGTGGAATTAAAAGATGAAAGCCGGCCATCAGGGCATGTAGAAGAGACAGATTCACTAAGGGCATAACATTCAGAATCCATACAAGCAGCAGTAAATTCTTCAGCTGTTGAGGAAGTGAGAATACGACGATAACATGGCGAAGCAATAGACCTGCTGGCTATTTAAGGCGGGACTGGAAATTCAACTATGATGGGGAAATGATCTGAGATAGCAGTCTCAGATATTTCAGTAAGGGAGATAGAGAGCCCATGAGAAATAATAAGGTCCAAAGTGTGTCCAATTAGATGTGTGGGTCGATCCACCAGTTGATGTAAATGGAAAGATGACAAAAGTCATTTAAAATCAGTGGCCAACTGATCAGACGGACAACAAACATGGATATTAAAATCACCACAAATAAAAAGTTGGTCATACTTAGGGACAACATCAGCTAAAAATTCTGAAAACTCTTGAATAAAATTCTTGTTGTGTTTAGGTGGACGATAAACAACAGCACACAACACAGGGCATGTAAACTCAATTAAAAATAGCTGTAGCTCAAAACAAGAATAATATTTAAAGATAAAAGTCGACATTTAAAATTGTCTTTAAAAACAGTAGCCACGCCTCCGCCGCGCCCCGACACTGAGATGGTCCTCACTGCAGAACACGAAATCCAGGAGTTAGCACTTATGATATACCTTACTCCACCTTACATACCGTAATTCCTCAAATAAAGACCGGTATTCAAATAAACGCCGGGCCTCTGATAGTGGCCGGGGGCGTGGTCAACGCGAACAAATAAAGGCCGGTCTCAAATTAAGGCCGGGGAAAAATTTGTGTACACTCAAAGACGGACTCGCTCAGCGGTTGTCATATCACAACTATTCAGTGTTTTTAACCACATGTTTATTTTAGGTTTCAGACATTTAAATAGATATGATTTATAGCAAAACAATACATTTATAGTTTGTAAAATACACAATGGTGTCTATGGAAGCAGCAATAACAATCCATTCAAATATATTTGGCGACGTGTTTTATTCATATCAGATACACAGTGTAAGTAACTATAAAGTTTACTCTATTCTTCTCCCAGTTCACCGGCCACTTACTTTCATGTATTTCGGGAGAAACTGAAGAATTCACGCGCTGTAACGTAACAAATCCAACAGACAGGAATCTCTGAACTGCGGTGCCCATCTCACGTTACAGATCAAGATAATTTATAAAGGGTTTTAAACGACAAAACAAACTCACTTACACGGATTTGAGAGTCAGAATAGAAGATAGTTGATGACATGGTAAGCAAGTTTGTTAATATTTAGAAATAAAAGCGCTACATCTGTCATACAGCGCTATTTTGGCTGTGGTGAACACGTGCCAAGCATGACGCGTCACCATGTAAACTTGGCTGGCGGGCGGGCGGGGATCGCGAATTAGAAATAAAGGCCTGCCTCTAATAAAAGCCTGCTTCAAATAAAAGCCGGCTACCATCTGCAGTTCAGGTAAATAAAGGCCCCGGTCTTTATTTGAGGAATTACGGTATGCCTAAACCTACCCATCTCCGCCCCCTGATCCCTAACCCCACCCCTAATCCTACCCATCTCCACCCCCTGATCCCTAACCCCCCCCCTAATCCAACCCATCTCCACCCCCTGATCCCTAAACCTACCCATAATCCTACCCATCTCCACCCTTTAGATCTGGATCCAACTCCGCCCCCTGGATCTCATGTACTGCAATGAGGTGCAACTGCCGACACTCGCGGGGAGCTGAAAAAACAGCACCGAGGTGGGAGGAGCTCTGTAAAGGCACTGTTGTCACCTGGTTTAACCCAGGTTTCCGTCAACAAAATAAAAAATAAAAAAATCTTTCAAAAATAAAAGTTTTGTTAGTTAGCGATCTAGCGTTGATCAAAGCAACACGTAATGTGTTGAGGCCAGACTGCTGGGAGATACGTGCAAGCGGGCAAAGATTCTCCTTTACGGAATGCCGTTTGCAGATCCTTACGGGCCGTCGGCAAGCATGTGTATACTCCGCGTCGGGAACGATGGGTCGAAGCCACCAGTAGCAGTATTCTGAGGAACACTTCACAGCGTAACCATCGTACTCTCTCTCGAGAGAGCGCCATGAGACTGCGAGGATCAGATGCCAAGTCAGACCCCATTTACACCTGGTATTAAAATGAGATATGTATCCAGATAAATTATCCAGATAATAAGTGTTCTGATCTTACCTTTATGTTTACACCTTGTATATTTAATGCGTTCTCGTTATCCACATTGAGTTCGGATCTCTGTCCTCCAGAAAAAAAAATGACAAAAAAAATTACGTTTGGCAGGTACGAATGCCATCACGTCGTACGGATTGCATTTACACCTAGTAAAGATCCGAACACAATGCGAGACTACCTCCAGATGTGGTCAGGCAGATCCGATCACAATCCGATCACAACGTATTTACACCTTGCATTAACATGCGTTTTTTTTATCCGGATAACTTATCTGGATACAGATAGCATTTTAATACCAGGTGTAAATGGGGTCTCAGAGTCAGGTAGGCTCTTCTTAATCTGACGGAACCCTTAATCTTAAACTATCTTCTACTTTCTTTGATGCATCATCTATAACATGCTTTAAACAATGATGCAATTGGAGAGACCTATAAAAGATTGTTGGGAAAAAATATTTTCAAGTAATGAAGTGGTGTCAGTAATCTACCACTTTACATGGATGCCAGAACATGGATGATGAGACCTCCCCTTTAAGTCTTTATCTGTTATTAAGGCTATTTAAAATGCTAGAGTTCAATCTCCAAAGTGCAGACATTGTTTTGTTGTCAAAGATGAACGTGAAATATGATCAGAAAGATCTATTGTTCCTATTGATCTATGGTTTCTTTCTTCACAAAAAATGAAGAAATAGTTGATTATTGAATAAACTGAACGAGGAGAAGAAAAACGAGTATAAATACAAATAGTAGATTTAAGATCTCTCCACACATCCATGATCTCCAACTCTTTCATGACCGCATTAATTTTCTTACCTATAGGCTTAGACTGAAGTAAACCACTCCCAGAAGAATCCAATCTTGGATTCAACCAAGTCTCCTCCAGAAATAGTAATACCCTGCGGATTAATAACCATTAAATAAAAAATGTGTACATTAAAGATCCAGTATGATTCTGAACTACATTGAGAAAATGGAGCCATCATAATATATCAACCATCTTTGTGATACGGTAAGTAGACACTGAGAGAAAGATGGCAGGTGAACAGTGAGTTTATTGAACAGTAAAGGGGCAGAGATGAGGTGAGCAGGTAAGTGAGAGTTCAAAGGTAGATCTTGAGAAGGACACAGAGGAATTGAAGACGCTGGAGACGGGGAGATCGCTGGCGACAGGGAGAATAGTCCACTTGGCATCAATGAGACTGCACCGTGAGCTGGGGTGAAGTGTGTGTGTATATGTAGAAGCAGTGATGAGGGTGATGATGAGGTACAGTGATTGGGAAATGACATGGAGGTGGCAACCGAGGAGAGTGATGGGAAATGTAGTCCACAGGATGGTGACTTGGCTGATCTGTGACACTTTGTTTGTGTTGGTTGATATATGTTCAAAGTTGAGCCTCTTATGGTCATATTTAGAGGAAGATGAAAAAAAACCTTATTTTAACACTTATTAGTTATCACCTTAAAATTATATAACATATTGTCCTATGAACTCACAATTCAACCTCCCTAAAGGGATTGGCCCCCATTATCTTGCGCTCATGTGTCAGTTCGATAACTATATTCTGACATTTGTTATTAAACACCTCATACAAGGTGTAAAAACAAGCATAACTTTATTGTTGAAAATGAGTCAAAGTCCCGAACTGAATAATGAATTAAAAAAAAATCTCCCATCTCTAATCAAAGCAAAAATATACAAAACCCACATTTTCTTTAGGTCAGTAGAATCAGTATTCAGGGTGCAGAAATTCCCTCTCAGCTTCTTCTTCGTTGCTTCTTCCACTGTGTTGTTTAACTGGATCTCATCTGAAAAAAACATCTTGACCAGTTTGGAACTTGATGATCCTTCAGTTCATTATTTGCTTTAGTATAACCCTTTTGTATTTTAATAATGTCAGGAACATAAAAATCCGTTCTTCCTCCACACAGTTCCTCCATCATTCTATAACTGAGTTCACCACGATTGATCTCGGCTGAGCTTTTTCTGGTAGCCTGAGAGCAGTGTGCTCTCTCAATATAAAGGGAAGCATATGTTTCAAATTCAAGTTTACCCCTCAGCATATCTTCAACAAAAGTGATCATAGATCTTATACGACCCAGTAGATCCTGATATTGTTCTATCATGAATGGCCTTCTTGGTCTGTTATTCTTGTTTTTAACTGTGTCTGAAGTTAAAGATATTGATATGCTTTAAGCTTATGCGATTTCTCCAGCCCACGATTCGTTTAGCTTCTTCCAGTCGGTCATTGGTGTTTTGGATATCCTCCTTAATTTATTTCAGCTGATCTTAATTGTCTCTCCTAAAGTCATGTAATTTGTGGATGAGCCAAGCTAGCTGTCTCCTCAGATTCGCCGACACCTCACCGGTCCAGCATGGTATCATCCGGGCAGACATTTAATGGCGACTTTGTGTTTTAACCCTGCGTATTTTTCAGATTGTAATTGCTTATTATGTTTTCCCCTATTATGTACTTGAGCCCCATCTTCCATGTTGACGACAATAGGATATAGTAATAGCATCTAATAGTAGTTGTTGTTTCTCGTGTTTTGAAGCTTATTTATATCACTTTGTTGTAGAACCGATCTTTCAAGCTGCCATCCCGTGACGTCACCAGAACCGCATTGTATTTATTTAATGAATCATGTCTGTGCTATTGGCAGATCCAGGGTCAGCCAGTAATGGGGCAGCTGATTCCAGACTGTTATGTGGAGCTGGAGAGGAGAGTTCTGCAGGAGAGGTCACATGTGCCCGCTGATTTCCCAGTGCTCAGGCACAGCAGATTACTGGAGATCATACAGGAAACACAGCTGCAGCTAGAGGAGGGAGAGTTACCCCACGCTATCCACTTCCTCAGCGAGGCCGGTGAGAGTTGCTTCACTCCTGAATCTCTTTCTGATATCTTCTGCTGCTGTTTATGTCCAATATTTGGGTGTTTCCAGGGCAGGCGCCACAAGGGGTTAGGGTTGGCATGAGGGGGCGATGCACCCTTAAACTGACTATCCTTCCCCCTCAGTCAAGATGAATGTGAAAAGGGATTTTTGTAATCATGAATATCTATTACATTTATATCTACAATTGCCAAGTGCATTGACTTTCTATTATTAGATTACTATAGCAACATTTTAGTTCAGGACATTCTGTTTCACAAAGTCAGAGTTTGATTGGCACATTTGACGTTGAACTTTCTGCATATGATGAAATATATATATATATATATATATATATATGTTTAAAGTGCTAGAAAATTGATCATAGTTAAATTAGATTTTCACTGTATACTGTTATTGTAAATGGGTCTAAATGAGTGTGTTGCGTTAGTGAAGTTGCAATGAACGTGTGATTTATAGTAAAGCAGACACAATTAATTATATTTTGTGGTGGTGAATTGTGTATCTTAGATGTATTTATATCGGGTGGTCTAAAACGTGCTTATAACGTGGATAGCATGTCAAATTATTTGGTTTTCTTTTTTTTTTATGTAGTAATATTATTCAATGCTCTGCCATCTGTAAGTTGATCGGTAGCTTTTAGTTTCATAGTTGTAGAAATGACAGGTTTGTTTATGGCTGAAAAATATTTGAATGGGCCACTTCACGTAAAGCTGTGTTTTTACTACAATTGGTGAAATTGAATTTATACGTATTTTGCATAATATTTGAGTATATTATGTAAATATTATATGATGTATAATATGTATTTTTACATCATTTGAAAATGAATTATGATTTTTTTTTTTTAAAGCAGGAAGTCACATTTAACCTAATATATTTACTATTTAACATACTACTTACGTATGAAACTTATTTAATCTTAAAATGAAATGCATTACGAAAATGTAATATGACAACAAAACAACTTAAATTATTCTATTTAAATGTTAATTCCCGCCATCTAGCTTTAAAATGATTCGCAAGAACTCCCCACACTGGGTCATATGACCTTAAATAATTACATTCCTTTCATAAAGTGACCATTGCATGTTCCCTTCGCTAAGTGATTTGTGGAAGGGCCCTTTGTAAAGGGATTCAGTTCTTTTTCGTTTGGAAGCGTTCTCATTGCTGTCATAATAAAAGTCCTGTGCACTAGAAATGCACGGATCAGCTCTAACGTCAACCAATCCACTGTTAAAAATAAATCATCCATCCGCCACCCACCCAAACCTATGGTTTTCTCTTATTAAGAGATCCGCACCCGACCTGCACAAGATTGTCACTTTACAATTGTATCATATTACACTGAAGTAGGCTGCTTTTAAAAGAACATTTATTTCTTATTTTTTAAAATTACATTTCCTTAGTAAGCTTAACAGAGGTTTTACACCGTTCAGATTTAAATTGGAATGCCACTGTTTCCAGCACACAAGCTCATAAAGCTCATTCTAATCTGAAATTCATGTGGCTTTACAGCCGTCACAGACCCAGCACTTGATTTGTCCTGGTTAACTACTTTATTAAAACACTCCCACACTGGACCTTTCTTTCCTTCATTTTGTTTTGTTTTTAACTCTCCGTTTTAAAGTTTCTCTCTGATATGTTTTGCCTCCATTGCTGCTTAAACAAGTGGACCCCGCAACTGTGTAGCTTAATGAGAGTCTGGACATTAGTGCCTGATGGAAAATTGGGCTTTAAACACGTTAATATTTCCATATTATGTTGGAAAACACTCTTATGAGAATATGGTACGTTTTCTCCGAATTGGGGTGAAAAATATTTAAAATGCCATTTTCATCACCATTGTTTCCCTCACAGAATGTTATCACATAGAATACTAAATTAGTTACACTTTTTCTGTCACTGGAAGCATCAAGACAGATTAGTGTTTACACTACAAATTTGATGTGCGTTTCAACTTCTGATCACAAATTGTTTTACACCTGTATTAAATTGTGATCCTCTTGTCTGTATTTGTCTGCAGGTGTCCTGCTGCACTTTGATGATCCAGTGCTTCAGCTAAAAGATTTATACTTCATTGACCCACAATGGCTTTGTGACGTCATCTCACAGGTTATACACTCATATCTCACTCCTCTTTTTGACAAATTGACACTTTCACAGCAGTAACGTCGTATCTGTTGTGTTGATGAACAGACGCTGACACTGAAGAGCACTGATCAGTGGGACAGCACTAGAGGAGTGGTGCAGCGCTCCACTGTAGAGAAGTTTCTGGACAAAAGTCGCTGTTTCCCCAAGAATCATCTGACTCAGTACTTCAAACTTTTGGAGAAGTTTCTAATAGCCTTGCCCTTTGGAGATGACCAGTTACTTATACCTAGCAGGTAGCGATAGGAGTTTTTTTATTATTACATTTATAAAAAGTGTTGTATAGTGCTCATTTTTGGTGATTGGTATATGCCTAGACTGTCAGATCACAGGCCGGTGATTGAGCTCCCTCACTGTGAGAATTCAGAGCTGATTATTCGGCTCTATGAGATGCCATACTTCCCCATGGGATACTGGTCCAGACAGATCAGCCGTCTTTTGGAAGTGTCTGCTTTCCTGCTCTACGGCAGAGGTAAAGCAACACACACTTTAGAAGTCAGTATAAAGGATTCCTGTAACTGGGTGAACATTGTGCTAGCCATGGCAAGGTCATAGGTTTGATTCCCAAGGTACACACATACTAATATAATGTATAATAAAATGAATGCATTGAAATGTGATTGGCATTCAAAAGTTTACCAAATGAACAGGATGTAAGGTAGTAAACTGTGTGTATTCTGCAGAGAAAGCATTAAGACCAAACCGGATCTACTGGAGAAAGGGCATCTATCTGAGCTGGTCTACTGAAGCTTACTGTCTAGTGGAGGCCTTGTCTCTAGAAGAGAACTCTGCTAGCTTCATCAAGATCACTGTGCCCTGCTCTCGCAAAGGTAAGAGAGGGTCATGGTTGTATCACAGTGTTTGGGCCATTTTAATGACTAATGTGATTTAACAATAGTAATGTAATGGTGATGATGGTGGGGACTATGATAGAGGGGATGATGTCATGGTGAAAATTATGAACTGTAATAATAAATATGTTGGCGATGATGTGGTTGTGGGAGTGATGAATAATGATAGTCATGATAATAATGTGATGATAGTTATGATGGCGATGATGATGGCGATGTGGGGGTGATGATATTGTGGTAAAGGTGTGATAGTGAATGATGTTGATGTTCTGATGGTAAAGTGATGGTAATGATGTGGTTTTGGTGTTAATTGTATATTGGACATGATGATGGTAATGATGATCTCATGGTGATGATGATGGTGTGGTGGTGATGATGATGATAGTGATGTGATAACGATGCAGTCATGTTTGTGATCATGATGATTATGCTTATGATTTTGATGAAAGTGATAATGATATGGTGTGATGGTAATGATTATAGTGATGATGATGGCAGGGGGTGGTGATGATGGTATAATGGTGATGTGATGGCAATGATGATAACGATGTGATGGTGAATTGATGGTAGATATACTAACTGATGGTGGGGTACTGATGGAGGTGATGCTGATAATGGTGTAATGTCCCTAACCCTAATGTCCAAAATCCTAGTTTTGCAAATTGTGCATACAGCAAATCACCTTTATAAATATGGTCAAGTATTTATATCCAAAAGAAGCAATTATGGGATAGTTGACATGGTCTCTGCTAACACTTCAGGGCTGTGTTGTCGTAGTGTCTAGGCGCAGGTCTGTACACGGCCCGGATTCGGCTGACTATGGTAAACCTCAGGATAAACAGAGAGACTAGAGGTGAAACTCGAAAAATGTGAATATTGTGCAAAAGTTCATTTATTTAAGTAATACAACTTAAAAGGTGAAACTAATATATTATATAGATTCATTACATGCAAAGTGAGACATTTCAAGCCTTTATTTGTTATCATTTTGATGATTATGGCTTACAGCTATGAAAACCTTTTCACTTACAGGGTTTTCATTAGCTGTAAGCCATAATCATCAAAATTATAACAAATAAGCTGTAAGCCATAATCATCAAAATTATAACAAATAAAGACTTGAAATATCCCACTTTGCATGTAATGAGTGTATATAATATATTAGTTTCACCTTTTAAGTTGAATTACTGAAATGAACCTTTGCACGATATTCAAATTTTTCGAGTTTCACCTGTAATATTAGCGTAGATGTGATTCTTCTTATGATTTAACGAGTACATCAGGTGTTATAGGAAGTGTTCCCAGTTCCGGCTGACCTAATTTATGCAGCCTAATAATAATTTTACATGGTTTGAATAATAGAAATGTATAATGTTCTATATGAATGCCAGGTTAAAGAGATGTGTTTTTAGTCTAGCTTTGAACTGACAGAGTGTGTCTGCTTCCCGGACAATGGTAGGAAGACTGTTCCAAAGTTTTGGTGCTAAATAGGAAAAGGATCTACCGCCAGCAGTCGATTTTGATATTCTAGGTATCATCAACTGGCCGGAATTTTGAGATCGCAATAGACGTGAAGGACTATAATGCGTTAAGAGCTCGCTCAAGTACTGGGGAGCTAAACCATTTAGTGCTTTGCAAGTAATCAGCAAGATTTTAATATGTATACAATGTTTAATAGGCAGCCAATGCAGTGTTGACAGAACCGGGCTAATATGGTCATATTTCCTGGTTCTGGTAAGAACTCGAGCTGCAGCGTTTTGGACCAGCTGTAGTTTGTTTATTAAGCGTGCAGGGCAACCACCCAGTAGAGCATTACAATAATCTAGCCTTGAGGTCATGAACGCATGCACTAACTGTTCTGGATTTGTCACTGAGAGCATATTTCATAGTTCAGATATATTTTTAAGATGGAAGAATGCTGTTTTACAGATGCTATAGATGTGGTTCCTAACAGACGACAAAGACTTGACAGAGCAGCCATCAAGTGTTAGACCGTATTCAAGGTTATTACGTGCAGGTGGTTTTGGTTTAATAATTAGAATCTCTGTTTATGGTGATAGTGATGCATTTGCTAGGATGATTGTGGTGATTATGACATGTGGTGATTTTATAGTAGTGATGTCATGGTTGTAATGATGTGATGATGGTGTTGATGATGATGATGACAACAATGTTGAAGTCTCTGTCCTATGCAGGTCGTGTGTTGTTTGGGCAGGTGGTGGATCACATTGACTCTCTGCTGGAGGAATGGTTTCCAGGCCTTCTCGCCACTGACGTCCATGGCACTGGGGAGACACTGCTTAAGAAATGGGCTCTGTACAGCTTCAGCGATGGACAAAACTGCCAGAAGATGCTGCTGGAAGATCTACTCTCTAAGATCAGCGCAGGTCTCTGTCCATTCTGTTCAAATTCTGAAACACAACTATTTTATTGATAACCTGCTGTATAAAAATGGTGCAAATGCCACCTGTGCTGTCCTGACTGGTTGCTTGTCTGTAAGATGGTTTGCTGGTGAACCCAGAAGACCCCAGCTGTACTCTGCCCATCTCTCAGATCTCACCGGACCTGGTACTGAGCGACCAGCTTCCCAGCACCATACTGGATCCAGAGCAGCTGGAGATGGAGCTCTCTAAAGAGTATCTGTTGGGTGAGTACATGAATGAACCCATAGCCAGAGACAAGAACAGTAATGTCTGTAGGACTCCTTGTGATTGTCAAGAAAGAAAGTGATCCAATTAGATCCAATTTTTTCTGAAGGGGATGGCGGTTTCGGGTCTGTATATAAAGCGGTGTACAAGAACGAAGAAGTTGCTGTGAAGATTTTTAATAAACATGCATCTGCGCTTTATGTTCATCGGCTGGTACGACAGGTAAGATGTGATAGAAAAAGAAACCAAGCAAGTTTTACCCTGCACCTGGTTGGGACTTAAGCGAGCTGAACAAGTTGTGTCCTAGTTATAGCATCAGTTCATTGTTGGTGTATTTTCTTGAAAATGGTTTGTCCCCAGGAACTGGCAGTACTTGGCCGGCTGTGTCACCCCAGTCTGGTGGGGCTTTTGGCCGCCGGTTGTAACCCGCACATTCTCGTGATGGAACTCGCCCCATGTGGCTCTCTGGACTCGCTGTTTGAGCGTGAAAATGGCAGTCTCAGCCGCAAACTACAGCACAGGATAGCACTGCATGTGGCAGATGGTCTCAGGTGGGTACCCCATCTACACAACACGCAAAAGCGTAGTCACCTTTAAAGAAATGTTCAGGGTGCAAAACAAGTTTAAGCTTTAGGGCAGCATCTGTGATACGCTTTGTATCCAAACAGATATTTGCACTCTTCAATGATTATCTACCGAGATCTGAAGCCACACAACGTTCTGTTGTTTAACCTGAAGACGGATGCCGAGTTCATCGCTAAAATCACAGACTACGGGATAGCACAGTACTGCTGCAGTATGGGCGTCCGCAGCTCAGAAGGCACACCAGGTCCCTCTTACTTTCCCATAATACTCTATGAAACAGTAATTCAAAAATTATTATATATTCTAATGTTGATCTTAAACACTTACAGGTTTTCGAGCTCCCGAGGTCGCCCGAGGTAATGTCATCTATAATGTCCAGGCGGATGTATTTTCGTTCGGTCTGCTCCTGTATGACCTTTTGACCTATGGCGAGCGGATATCTGATGGGATGAAGTTTCCCAGTGAGTTTGATGAGGTTGCTGTGCAAGGAAAACTACCAGGTAACATGCAGGATATGAATCTCTCGGTTTTAATCAATTCTCAATTTGATGAATAGATATTGATTCTCAAATCCCAAGAATCTTTTAGTCTATACTGTTTTCATTTGATGTGTGAACAAAACATCACTAAACATTTGTTGCGCACCTCCCATCCGATAAATTGCAAAAAGCTTTGTGCTGTTACTTTTGATATGAAACAAAGTCTCAGCTATTTTATAACTATATTTAAACAACAAACATGGTTTTGATGCTCTTCAATGTGGCGTGACAGATCTCTGTAGCAGCTCAGTTCAAGTGAAGTGGCAGCCAAATCATCAAATATATATTTACGTTCCGATATTTACAGTATGTTCCGCTTGGACACGTGATGAAACATATATTGACAAATCACACTAATGTGTAAAGAGGCGACGTCTTCCATTGATTTTGCTGGGCCGCGTTGCGTGGGAAGAAAGGAGCTGGATTCCATTTAAACACCCTTGAACATGAAGTACTGAAAAACGCTGCACTTCTGGAGACGGTTCTTGTCTGGGACACGCAGAGGAAAGAAGCCTTGAAGGTGAATGCTCTGACAGAGGATCCCTGAATCTGAAGTTGTTGCAGAAGGTCCTGAAAATGGCGGGGACACGTTTGGTGGTTGTTGCTTTTTCCGAGCTCCCTAAAATTCCCTTCTTGTCGAACTTCCTTGTTTCTCTTATTAGAGCATCGATTTACAAATTAGCACCTTTCTGAAAGCGTTGTGATTGGCTGTTGTTGTCTAAGGTTTCTACAGTTTAGCCCCCTCTGGCGTGAGGGTTATTTGCTTAGTTCACCATAAGAACAGTGTCTTTAAGGTTTTTCCTATACACAATTCACTTTCAAGCCAATTCCAGATTAACTTAGGCATTGTGCTGAACACGAGTCTAAACATGATTGTGTAATGTATAATTTGCACCCATGCATGTATACCTCAATAGGCAAGTGTGCATACCTTGTTGTGTCACAAACAGCACGTATTATGTGTATAGAGTTCTGTGAACAGATATGGAGAGGATTTGTCCATTTTGTATAATAGATGTTATAATAGGGCCAAAGAAATGACAGATTTTCAGACTGTTTACACCTGGTATTAAGATGCGCTTTGGTTGATCGGATAATAAGTGGACAACGCTAAATACAGGTCTAAACGGGGTCTAAAACGTTTTGAGCTTGTCTACCTTCGACCACTTCCAACCGAATTGTTTTAGTAGTGTAAACGCTCATGTGGTCGAATGAAAGACCGTCTTCTCGTCTCCGCCTACTGACCTAACGTGTGAACATTACGGGAAGAGCTCTAGACAGACGGGATTTCAACTTTGTCGGCTGAAGACCCAAGTTTGGTTTGAAGATGGAAAACGTACCAAGCACAATGTTCTCTCTCCCTTCCTGATTTCTAACACACGATCACAGCGTTCGGCTGGTCTTGCGGCTGTCAGAGCAGAAACTAAAGCTGATCTTTTTTCCGTCGTCTCCGGGCGTGTTTATGTCATTTGCACAAGCTTATCGAAAGATCTGAAAAAGCCATAACATTTTTTTTAGACCCTCCCCTCAAAGAAATCGCGATTTATACAGCGCTTTTTACAATACAGATTAGCCCCTTTCACACAGAGATTCCGGAAAATACACGGCTAAAGCGACCCGGGATTTGACCTGGGTTCGTTTGATTTTGCTTCATTCACACTGCCAGTGATTTGCCGGAATCAGAGAGTGCGTTCACACACAACCCGTGTATGTTCCGGAAAGACACGTGACATCGATGTGACATGTAATGTCTCAGCAGCGTGTATAGTTTGCTTATGAGCTGCGATTTCTCTCTGGAGAAACCACGCTCGTGCATTTTTTTCTCTGACTCGATCATAAACTAGCGCATTATGTACCGTTTCACTAGCCTGCTTTCACTTCACTTCAGCGTCATCATTACGACACGGCATTGGTTCTGGCTTTTGTTCACACAGCGCGCGTTCCGGGTCTGAACACGGCAATGTTACTAGGTCCCCAACCCGGCATCAGTCCCGGGTCGTGTTTGCGTTCACACAGAAGGCACTCTGGCAATTTGCCGGGTTCAAAGCGCTGTGTGAAAGGGGCTATTGTTTCATAGCAGCTTTACAGAGATAACAGGAAAATAATGCAACAAAGTTTGTTTCCAGAAGAAAATAGCGTCACAGTCCAGCTTAAGTAAGTTCTGTGACGTTTCATTTTTGTTGTAAAAAAGTTATTAATTTAGTTCATATATTTATATATGCTAATGTAATGTAATATTATTAATATAACATTTTAATTTGATTAATATATAATGATATTAATAACTCTCTATAATCACTGATATAGATCCAGTTAAAGATTACGGCTGTTCTCCGTGGCCAGGGTTTGAGTCTTTGATGAGGGAATGTTTGAGAGAAAACCCTCAGGACAGACCTACATCTACTCAGGTCAGACAACTGGTTACATCTGAGAAAGAACCACTTCTCTGCTCATTATAATGTGAATCCAGTGCAAACATTTGAGTAATTCGGTGTCTCTGTATGTTTTAGGTGTTAGATCGTCTGAATTCTGCAGAGATGCTTTGTCTGATGCGAGAGCTGACTCTGATGAGTTTGCCAGGCGAGTGTTTCACTGTCTCCAGTGCAGGTGGAGGGGCAAATGCACGTGTGTGGATCGGGGGCGGCAGTAGTAGCCAGAACATGGGCTGTGTGACATCACTGGATCTGGAGACAGGGGGGAGCTTAAACCAGGTACTAAAGAGCTTTAAAAGACTGTTAACCCAACAAATGGCGTGAATTATACTGTAAATACACACTAAGTTTTCTTGCTAGATACTATTTTATCGAAACAAATATGATTCTATCATCCTCATTTTAGTGTTCTACAGTACATGTAATAATTATCATCGTTTTAAGTTCGATGTCACCCACAATCCTTGAGAAATTACCTTTTTTTTAAAGCAATAGTCCAACCAGAAATAAATTGTCATCATTTACTCACCCTCATGTCGTTCCAAACCAGTATGACTTTCTTCTGCAGAACACAAGAGAAGATATTTTGAAGAATGTTGGTAACCAAACAGTTTTGGTTTTGTATCTTTTGTATGGTATGTTTTGCCCATACAATGGAAGCCAATGGGAACTGAAACTGTTGAGTTACATAAAATACTTTAAAGCATTTTCAAAAGAAAGTCATACTGGTTTTAAAAGACACGAGGGGGTGGGGACATGAGGGTGGTCAATCCATTTACCGGTCAAGTTAACAGTGTTCTCTCTCTTTTAGGAGATTGACAGCAGTCCTGTCCTCTGCATGGTGATCATCAGAGCTCCAGGGTCATGCGATGACTGGTTAGTCGCTGGTACACAGTCGGGTTCACTCTTCATTATGGACACTATAAACGCAGAGGTTCTGCACTGTCTGAAGAGTGTGAATGACTCTGTGACGTCACTGTACTTTCACACTGACCAGCACAGGTGATTACATCTAAGTTTCTGAGTGAGAAGTGACATAACTTCTTGAAAGATGTACCTTAATATGAGAGAGTGATGTTTAAATTTTTCAGATGCTTAAAGAATTACCTTTTGGTCGGGACAGCAAATGGGACTCTAGTCATTTATGAAGATTCAGTCTTGAAGGTATTAATTATTAAAATGATAAATAATGAAAAATGAGCATTTCAATATGTACAGTATAACACAGTTGTACATGTTTACTGGAGAACCATCTGAGATTGCCTTCTTTAATCAATGGTAAATTATGTAATATAATTGTTTAGCACTGTTGCATACATTACTATTCAAAAGTTTGGAGTCAGTAAGATCTTCATTTATTTATTTTTTTTAAGAAATGAATAATTTTATTTTGCAAGGATTCATTAAATGAATGAAAGTGACAGTAAAGACATTTATATTATTACAAAAGACTTCTGTGATGAGGTTCAGTGTTTGGAAGGAAGGAGACAGGGTCGGCGTGACTGGGACTCGTACGTTTTGTTGTACTTACTCAAAACAATAAACAAAACAAAAGACGCCCACCGGGCATTCACCGTAGCCACGCTACAGCACTAAACACTTTCACATAAAAACTCTTTCAACTTCTCTTTCCAATTGCTGACGGCGTACGAGTCCTCGTTCCTTCAATATTAGAAACTAGAAACAATATTTTCCCCACATTGTTTTCAACAAAATATATATGGATGAAATGCTGAAAATGCAGGTTTGCCATCACCGGAATAAATTATATTTAAAAAAAAATTATAATTTTTTTTTTAAATTAATTGTAATGATATTTCATAATATTACTGTTTTTTTTTGTTGTTTTTTTAATCAAATAAATCCAGTGTTGATGAGTATAAGAAACCCCTAAACAGCACTTTGTCAGACGCCTGATATATTTGACGTTTTATGACTGTAGGTAAAGAATGCAGGTCCAGTGAAGACCCTCCAGGTTGGTGATGTAAACACTCCTCTGATGTGTATCGGCCCCTCCAATCACCCTCAGGAGCGCAAAACGCTGTGGGCAGCCTGTGGCACCCAGGTGATCTGTCTCACAGTGGATTACAACATCTATAGCAGCATAGACACCAAACAGCTCCTCCCGTAAGACCCCTATCCCTTCTGAAGTCAAGCACAACTACACCTGTCAATGTAACACAATAGATGTTATTCGATCTGCGTCATCAATGTTTGCGGCGGCCATATTGTTGACATAGAAACCACGGCAACTGTCAGTCTGTCAATTGACAAGCGAGGCAGCTTCGGTATTATCCATGGTATTATCACAGTTTTAAACAGCGTGATGGTGTGTTGTGTAATACACGGCTGTTGTAACAACAGCAATAAGAACCCTGGAGTTAGTTTTTATGATTGCGATAAGTTACCGACTGTCAGAAAACGTGAAGGGAAGGAGACAGAGTTGAGCCAGCGCAGGAGAGGCTAGCTAGGATAAATAGGCTAAACTTTCAGCCAACTCCCCACAGAAAAGTCTATTCCCGTCATTTTACCACAGGTTTCACACATAATCCGTGTGGAATGCGTGTGCGGTGCGTATACGGTACAGAACCAGGACGCGCTATAGTGCTTATAGCGCTATAGTGCTTATAGTGCTTATATGCTGCATTTGCAGTGCGTAACTGATCCGCGGCTGTACCACAAACACCCCGGTACTCACTATTTTTATTTTAACACATACTCACTATTTCAACAACGTAAGCCAATTATTCCATGCATTACTTCTATATATTAAGTTGCTCAAGCAAGTGGTCAAATATGTAACCATGTACTTATATTAAAATCGCAAACATTTTAAATGAAAACTTAAAATTGACAAAAACAACCGACTCTCATGCCTTTTCTTTTGCATTTACATTTTAATACAACAAAACTTGCATGTCACAAAGAACTTGTTTTTCCACCTCCACGAATGAGACGAGTGTCGTTCATTATGTTGCCTTGTTGAGGTGCATTGTAGTTTGTATAGATACTGTATGAACGAGATCGTTATAAATATCCGGATAAGTTACGGCTGGCAAAGTGGCAATAAGGACGGATCTTTACTTAAGCTTCATTGGTGTGGACCCACATCAAATAATAGCATCATCTTCTCTTGATACCGACGAGATGAAGCCAGGCTACTGCTCCCCTCAACTCAAATCTGCGCGCGGTTAGGGCAGCAGGACAGATGTCATGTCAACAATATGGCCGCGGTTAGCTACTTCCGGTGTTTGCGAATAAGGTCTTAAGCATTAGGTTCAGATTTTATTGTGGAAAACGGTGTAAACTGACCTTTTCTGCTCAAGGTAAATATACTGTATACAGTACACTAAAAGGTATGTGGACACCCAAATACCAAATTCATATGTGCCTTTTTCTTGCTCCCATTTGCCACTGTAAAACAGCTTCCACTCTCATTGAAAAGATTGTTTTGAAAAGACACCGTGTCTACACTGGATGGGACAGCTTGTCCTGTTGTAGCGTATGCACATGGAGTATGCTAGAAATAGGCATCGCTCTGCATCCAGTGTAGACAGTATCACTGATTATAATAGGTTCCATTTACTTTTTACTAGTCGTGCCAGTAGCGTCCAGTGAAGACACGGGGCGGAGGCCAGGGATAATGTGCTAATATTGTGGAGTCACCCAGCTTGATGTATTCACAATATTACCACAGGTAGGAATGACAGTTAGAGCTGGTTATCTCATGCCCAGATAGGAAATGGCCTTTATAATTAGGCCCAGTGAAATTGAGTATAATGAGAATAGTAAGGGACCTTACACAGAACCCTGAGGAACTCCTGGTTGGTTAGCTGATGGGAATTTGCCATTTTGGTAAGACTTATGAAAGAAAAGTGTAGTTCCTGTGATGTCGAGATCAGAGACAGTTGATCAGAGATTCTGTTGATTCGCCATGTTAAGAGCAGCAGACAGGTTTAGTAAGAATTAGGATGGATAAATTGTATTTGCCTGAATGTGACATAAAAAAAGAACTCAGTTGCTATAGTTGCTATTCTGTTCTTAAAGATGTTAATCTGTTTGTTTAGGCAGCTGGGTCGAGTCAGCAGTGATGCGTGTATATCACGGTTAGCGGTGGACAAACATGTGTACGTGAGTAAAACAGGAAGCCACACTGTGGAGGTCTGGGATAAGAAGACTGGGAGGATGGTGAACCTCATCGACTGTATGCAACTACTTGGGTGAAGTGGCACACACGATCATATAACTCATTTGCACACTTTTGACTCCTTTTACATCTCCTATTAATCCGTTTAACCAGATCTGATCACAAGTCATTAGCACTACAATACAAGTAGGGTCCAAAATGTATTGTGGCTGGATCACTCACACCACATCCGGTGGTAGTCAGAAACACATGTGACCTCATTGCATTTGTAGTGTAATCTTGTTTAACCTGGTAGATCCTGTTGAAGGACTGCCTACTCACCTGTCAATCAACAATTGCGTTTAATCAAGGAGGTTAAAGTTTGCTGTTTTAGAAAAGAACTGTCCATCACATTTTGGAAAAACACATAAGAATTTGCCTCATATCAGCATGCACTGACACGGATCATGTGAACCACATCTGAAGTTCATTTGTTATTTGACTAAAAGGACAATAAACATTTTCTATGAAACGTCAACGTATGAAAATGTAAATGTATGTTTTGAAGCAACACTTTCCCAACTTTTTGTACTTTAGTAACAGCAACATGACTCGGTTGACCCCTTGTGAACAGATCACCTGAGACAGATGTTAAAGTAGGTTTAACTTAACTTCCTAATGTACAATTTATATGTCCACAACAGATTAAGTTCCACCAAAAAGCCCAAAGCCCGGGATGAGGACCAGTCTAGACAAAAGGCGCCATCTTTGGCGATTGTTAAAGCTCTGTTGGTCCAGCACAGTGGTACCCTGTGGATTGGGACTAAAAGCGGACACATGCTGTTGGTGGAAGTCTCCAGCTGTCAGCTCCTGCAGACCTTCAGCCCTCACTGCGACTCGATACGCTGCATGGGCTCCGTGATGCTCGGTACAGTCTCTGCTCCTGTCTCTCCAGTTACATAGAAAGTGTCACTAGTTGGTAAATAATTTGGCGTCCCTTGTGAAAAAGTAGTGCACTTGTGATGTACTTCAAATCTTTTGTATTCATTTTTAAAAATATATATATATTTAAAAAAAAGCTGAACTTGTAGATATTATATTAATTACATAAAATGCCACTTAAGTGTACTTAAAAGAGAGTCCGCTTTCAAAAACAGTGAAATTTTACATAAAAATGCACTTAAGTCCTGCTGATGTTGGTCAATAAAGCACACTAAAGTTCAGATCTTAAGCACTTAATACAGTATACATTTAAACTATAATACATTTGAATTTAATTGCAATTGACAAGCAATTAAGTGTCAGGAAACATTACATTCATTTCACACTTAAGTACATTCTTTTAAAGGATTTGTGTCTGTAATAAGTACTCTTTTTAAAATATGCTAAAGTGTACTTCTTTTTCACAAGGAACACAGTTTGATGTACAGTTTAAAGGGCTTTAGTGGGTTTTGAATTGAGCTACAATTGTTTTAACTCTGAATTAATGTCATACATACTTTATGTTCTTGTGCAGACATCCTAAACCGAAAGAGTGTTGTTCTAGTATTGGGTAGACGGCAACGCATGCCACAAGACCAAATCAAAATGCAATTAGGTAAGAACATTTTAAAATATGGAAATTGGAGGAGTTATTGAATTATTATTATTATTTCATTTTCATTATTTTAATTCCATGAGGAATACAATTAGTTTAATCTTTCTTTTTTCTGAAGTCCACTTATAATTTTAATACCAAATTGTGTGGCAAAAACACTAGCGCTGACCCTTAGAAATCTTTACATCAAGATCTTTTAATCTTAAAAGAACAAAGACATTTCACCACCTTGGAATTATAGGGCCCTATCACACATCCGGTGCAGTGCAGCGCCAGGCGCAACGCAAGTGTTCTTTGCTAGTTTTAGCCCGACGCAGTTTCATTTTGACGTCCTGCGCCACGTTGTTTAAATAGCAAATGCATTTGCGCCCATGTGTTCACTAATGGGTGTGCTGGTCTGAAACCGAGGTGTGTTCAGGCGCTTTGGCGCGTTGCTATTTTGAGGAACTGGAATAGAGTCCTTGACTATGGAGGGATTATTGGGTCAGATTGAAAACCAAAAGTCTAAGTTTGAAACTAAAAGTCTAAGTCGAAAATGAATTTGGGGAGGGGAGGGGGGAGGCGCCGGCGCGATCGAACTAGGTGTGTGTGTGTGTGTGTGTGTGATTTTGGTTGGGTGACAGTTGTAGGTTACAGTTTGACAAGATTTTAGAGTGTGACAAAAGCACAATGTTGTATTTTATTGCGAGTGTACACAAATATACACACTTTGCAGTTTGAACTTTGCGCACACACTCCAGCATTGCAATCTTGACGTCGCAGCCTGTTTATTATGCTGCGTTCACACCAAACGCGAATAGAGCGAAATGTATCGCTATTTAGAGTTTTATTTATTTTTATACCGTGATTCTCCGTGTAAATTCGTGCACCGAACCGTGACGCCCGTAGGCTACCGTTTCGGTTCAATAGGAATACATGTACCGTTCCAGTACCCCTATACAACGCTGTCATTAAGTTTAAGTTGTTATCACATTATAAAGTACAGTCCTCGCTCCAGACCTGCTCACTCGCTCTGTTTGGTTTCATTACAGTGTGCTTCTTAGCACTGGAGCTCCCTCTGCTGTCCATAAGGTGCATCTGCACCAGCCATTTCAAACTCAGCCTCCAGTATTTGGACCACGCCTCCTTATTTGCATACACTCCTCAATCCTAAATCCCTAAATGCCCAATCCTAAATCCTAAATGGCTAAAAAACCAAATGCCCAATTCTAAATACCAAATGCCCAATCCTTTTTGGTTTTCGTTTAAGACTTTTCAATCTGACCCAATAATCCCTCCATACTTGACCAACTGAAGCCTGGTCTAAAGTCAAAGGTTAACATTTTTTTTGCTATTTAAAGAGTGTGTTAGTAATCTGCGCCTATAAGCAGGTCCACAACGTGCGTACACTCTGTCCCGTAGATGGTCTGCTTGAGCTTTAACCTCACACCAGTGTTGTGCCTGAACGTGTTCATTGAACGATAGTTCATGAACTCGTTCATATTTTGGGCGAACGTGAACTGAACGTGCTGTATTACTGCCTGATGAATGATACTTGTGAACTCGTTCATTCTGGTGTCTGTGAACGCACACTCTCAGTTTAACAGCACTGTAGAAAAAAAATATCAGGTCACCTAAAATGTGCTTCATTTAGTGACTTCTTAATTGCTTGTTTTTCGAAAATATGATTTAATACCAATAAGTTACATCAAGGGTCAAATAAAATAGAAATGGCACATTCAAGTTAAAAGTTACAACTGAATGTTGAAACCATTGTGTTTCTACATATGCTGTACAGGTCAGGTATAAAGAATATTTTTGTTCAGGTGGCGAAAAATGTCCGCCCAATAGAAAAAAGTTAAAAAAAATTAGAGGGAACATTGGTGAGGATGGGAAAAATTCTCAATTTCTGTGCAAACTTTGCCCACCGATAAAATAATTGCTGCCGGTGTTTGTATATGGGCTGTGGCAATAATAATAATACAAAATTAGCTCGCAGCAACATATGGAAAAAAAGAACTATGAACTTGTGAACTTAGTTCAAAATTGTGAAGTATGAACTATGACCTGAACTAGTTCATTTTAAAATTTGTGAACTGAACTTTGAACTAGTTCATGTAGAATGTGAACTTTCCCAACACTGCCTCACACACACACACACACACTCACAGCTCGAGCAGATCTGTTTCCTCTCTAGAGAAGCGTTCAGTTTTTCCGCTTGTAAATCCCACCATGTGCGCAACTGGCTTTTAAAGGGAATGGGAGATGAGACTCTGATTGATTTATTGCATGTTACGCCCAAAACACACTCATTACTCATTAAGAGAATAGGGACGACCCTTTTAGACCATGCGCCGGGAGCGCCGACCATTTTTCCCGTCGTTGAACTAGCAAAAGTGGATTCGGACGCCCTCAGTGCACTTGTGATGCGCGCTTTAGACCATGAGCTTACATCGTTTAAACAGAGCCCATAAGGTTCAATCTGAGCAGTTTTGTGATACTGAGCTTCAACGTTTTTTGCAATCCATTTTCGACCTTTTGTCCCAAAATGTACACACACAAAAAAAATCACATAATGTAAATAAGTTGTCACAGAATAAGAATGTGTGAATAACAATAACAGATAGAACCTTATAAATCCAAGGTGAGGATTTTCCTTGCATGTTGTTTCCTGTGATCACATGATGGATGTTTATAACCTGCTCCGTGTGTCTGTGATGTCTCAGCTGAGGATTCAGTGCTGACGCTGTGGAGTAGTTCTCTTCCTCTTGAGGTCAGAGATCTGATCAGACACTGTGAGCTGCGGGACAAAATCACCAGCAACATGAGAGAAACACTCCACAACTGAACACACTCTCTGTCTGCGCATCATCTCCTCTCATGCGTCAGCTGAGACACGTGTAACATTACTGTTTATGACTTTTTTAAAGTGCGGCCACTTTAGCCAAACCTCAGTGAATCAGCACTCACACAGAAGCCACTTTCAAACTAAGCAGATTTCTGTTAGTCAAAAACTTCCCATGCGAAATCTGTGTGGGGAAACGTTTTGTCCGTATGAAAAATTCAATTGTAACGACTGGATTTCATCTGCGTAAAATGCAATGTGTTTGCTCCTTTGCTTTTATGAAAAGGGACCCATGTGTAAAATGCATTTAGCATGAACGGTTATTTTTTGCAGTCAAGGGAAACACTTATTTGTGTTACATCTCATATGTAGCTGTGCATGGATTTATTTGGATTATATGGAAACTGATGTGCAGCCTAAATGAAAATGGCAAACGCTTCAGTGAGCTTTATTATTTCAGCTTTATCATTTTATAGCTTTTATTTATTCACGAGGAGACAGCCATACTTTATCAGAAAAATCTCTAGTACCCCTTACGCAAAATCATTGTAGTAACTATGGTATTCTAGCGAAAACACACAGTCATTGCTATTAGCAAAAAACAATGGACTAAATACTAAATACTAGTAACCCTCTGGTGCTCTTCAGTCATTTTTGACCGAACAATTTTACGTTTTTTTATTATTTTTTTTGTTTTGACCTCTTCAGAATGGATTAAAACTTGGTAATGGTTTTGGCACTTGGTATGTGAACACACACACATGCACACAGAACATCAACATGATTTGAAAAGGTTAAAAGTGCATTTGAAATGAATGGGAAACGCATTTGGTGCTGCGCCCAACACAATCTCACTGAAAGCTCTTGATATCTTGATCTTGATCTTTTTCTGAGATATCAACCACAGATTTGGAACACAACCGGTTTATATTTATTGATTTTCTCATGGTTTTGAAGTAAAACATGTTTTGGAAAATGTATATTCCAAAAAAAAAAAAATTATAAAAAAATTTTTTTTGTGCATTTTTCATAATAAACTTTTACAAAAAAATACTTCAGTAAAAATCTGCCTTTGAAAAGAGACTTAACTTGGTCTGTGCTCCAAAGCATTGAAGATTTACTACAGTTTAAGTTAATGTCATTTTCAGGTTGATGCTCAAAAATGGTTAACAGGTAATAAATGGATTATAACTACTGCATAAATATGATTTAGAACCATAAAGGTGCATAAAAACATGAGCAGCACCAGTGGGTTAAGATTGTAAAATTGAAAATTGGAAATAAGGAAATCCCATATTAATGTTAAAAATGAAATATAAATTCAAATAATTTGAATTTCTGAATTTCGAATGAAGTCATTTAATAAATCTCAGATCATGTTTAATCATGCATGTGTGAACTGTTTCAAAATTAAATTAGGCCTATGATGGAACTGCAGAGGACAATGCATTCAATCCACTATAAGCTATAGTTACACTACACATTAAAAATAGAAAGAAAAAAAAACGTTTTAAAAATAGAAAAAATCACGTTATTTTTAATGTATTTTACAATTACCCTGTGATATTTTTTTTTTTAGCTTAATAACTTTATAAAGTTAAGCACAACAAAATGTAACTGGAAAGTAAGCCATAGATTAAGATCATATTTTTGTTACAAATATGACCTTTCACTGTTTTTATTTCTGAGATGTGGGAATGCAATTGTTATCAATGATTTCTGTTTGTATATTGCATGTCAAATATGTTTTTAATAAAGTTTTGTCATTTTGTATGATGACTCCTGTTCTTTTTTCATCGTTAATTTCCCATCATTGTAAGAAATATTTAATTATTATACATTTATTTCAGGTGTGAAATAAACGGCGCTGTCACGTCGCGATTATTACTTTTCTCAGCGCTGATCGCAATGAACTAATCAGGATTGTTTATGATTAGGCTACATTTTTTTTAAAACACTTCGCAGATAGAGTGGATTCCCATTTGTTTATCAAATAAATAAAATCCCTTAAAAGCTATTTAAACTATTTCAAAACGTGAAAATATTAATAATAGCAAAACGTGATTTTTAAAAAAAATATTTGAATGCGTCTCAAAGGTGTTTCTCCAGCGCCCCCTGGAGGACGCTTTTGAACTTTACGCCTCATAGGAAACAGCCAAGCTCAAGGCCCCGCCCCTTCGCGATCACGTGATACAAACAGACCTCTATCTGGCTATGTACGTCACGCTGACACACTTCATGACAGCAGAGGTTATATCACACTGATCAACACCAAACTTTATCTAACATCTTTTATGAGACTCGCAGACACCGACATTGGCATGAAACCTCTTAAACCTTTTCTTCTGCTCAGATCCTAGTGCCAGATTCGAGTAGTGGAAGAGAAACCGTGTTTCGAGGAAACTCGGGACAGCGAGATCCAGTAACGTTAAGTATGTCTGCCGTCATTCCCAGTAGCGCGTGTGTAGCTGAGCAATGTAACTTACTGTCTTATTACTGCTCTCGCCAATAACGCTATACCGGTTTATGTAAACTTTTCATTTAATACAATATATGACACGTCGTGAAGTTTCAGGCCTTGTAATGATTGATCATTAACGTAATATCTGACAGCACTTTGCCACTACTTTATTTCTGGCAGTTTATAAGTAACGTTAATATTGTAACCTATGTGTGTGTAACGTTATTTAATTTGGACTCTTATTATTTTTCTCACCAGATCTGCTTTTAAATATGTCCTGTTCATGCAGACCTGCAGCGAGGGTGATTATAAAGTCAGTTCATAAAGGTGAGTCAACCATACACACACACACACACACACAAAACACACTAGCTACTGTTAAAGTACATTTATCTTTGGCTCTGAAGCCCGACTAACAGTATTTAGTTCCCAGAATTTGATTTTTTTTCGTTATTGACAACCAGGGTGTTTAATAACAACAACAACCGTGCATGCAAAGTATCTTTGTAAAAAAACAAAACCTAAAAAATAACCAAATACAAATGTTGTTTACTTGACATTATGTGTTTACTTGACATAGATTGTCAAAACCTAGTGAGCTGCCTACCTAGCCAGCATTTTTGCTAACATAAAATCGACAGCTTAATATATGATTAAAAGAGTGTGTATATGTATATATATATGAAAGAACATTTTCAATAATGTTTGCATAATAATTGTAGTAATGTTAATGTTCAGTTAAAAGCATTTTGCCAATCATATGCAGCATCGGATCATGGTATTTTCATTCAGTTCACAGTATTTTTTAGCATTATCACATTCTAACATTTAAATATCAGTATGTGCTTTACATGTTTGAACATTCAGTCACTCAGTCATTGGCATGCTCAAAAGTTGCCTATGATATCCACAAAGATGTCTAGATAGGCAGCTCTACATTTTGAAACACAGCCAATGCAAGATAAATCAACAGACAGTGTATTATTATTATTATTATTATTCTTTCATACATTCATTACGACTAATGTTTACATCACGGTATTAGTGGTGTTTCTTAATAGGGTCTAATTTGATTGATTTTGTTTGTTGTTTTCACGATAGTTATGTTTTTATGACCTTTGTCTGTGTCTGAGGTGATGGTTGTAGAATCAATAACAGACAAGTACACCATATTATTACAATGTTGCTTAAACCAGTCGTACTCTGTGAAATAGAAATACACTTTAGCATACTTCAAAAAAAGAGTACTTGTTTTGGAAATAACATGCAATGTGTCAACTAAATGTAAAACTAAATGTTTTGGACACTTACAATTAAATGCATTATAGTTCAAATGTATATTAAATGCAGTTAGCTGAACGTAAGTGTTTTTGACCCACTTAAGATTGAAATATCTTACTGTTATTTTCTTTAAAATATGGTTAAAGTACTGCAACCATGATTGATTTAAAATGTATTTGAAAGTAAAACGATTAATTTGACATTACAAAGTGCACTTTTTAAAAGACTAAAAGTGTGTTAAGAAACACAGTCATGAAAGTACCCTCTTCAGTACACTTAAGTGACCTTTTATTTCATTATTATATTATCTGTAAAAAGGTAAATATACTTTTACATTTTGAAGTACTCCTACAAGTACACAGTCATTCAATATAATTAAAGCACACTTTCTTTTGCACAAGTGGTTGTATTTTCAGTGGCAGACTCTATAACAGGTAATGCCATCAAGTGTAACTGAACTGATTTAGTGTTGGTGTCTTCGCTGCAGGTTTCTCTCGTTCTCATGTTCAGCTCTTCAGCCTCACTAGACCGGTGTGTGATGAAGCTCGTCTGCCTCTGTTCGTGCTCAACCGATCGCTTTCTCAAACCGCAGTGTGTTTCGCCTCTAAAGAAAGCTCACCCAGAGATGGCGACGGCGGAAAGGTCATCCTCTCATCGAGTGTTCTACAGTCACGTGAATGTTTGTTGGGTGTATAAGGTCTTCATGGCTACTGGTGCTGTTTGCAGAAGGGCGTAACCGAGGCGGGCGGAAAGCGGGCGTCCGGCGGTGGGGGTGCAGGGAAGGGTGGCAGTCAGCTGAGGTGTCCCAAATGTGGAGATCCTTGTACACATGTGGAGACTTTAGTGTGTAAGTATCGAGTATTTGATGTGCATTGTGTTTTAATAATAACCATAGAAATAAAGTACCAGATTACATATTAGCATTCAATTTCTTTTCAACTGTGCATAACAGTGTTGCCATTTTAAGGGCAGATCAATGACTAAAAGGAAAGAAAACATCGAGGTTAAAACACATGCGCCATGTTCTAGAAATATCTGTTTGTTGGTTTTAAATGATTTTGTAAAAATATGAATGCCATTTTTTAGAAGAGTTAAAGGAGAACTCCGTCGCAAAATGAGCCTTTGGTCTAATAAAACATTGGTGACCGTTTAATAAGAAGATAAAGATAAAGACAGTCCACTTCGTGTACAGACAGGAGCCATCTTTGGAAAACAGTCTCAACTAGTCAAACCACGAACGACGTGCTAAGTGAGCTGAACTGTATGAAGTTCAGTGAACTTCTGAACTGTATGAATGGCGTTCGTGGTTTGATTAGTCGAGACTGTTTTCCAAAGATGGCTCCTGTCTGTATACACGAAGTGGACTGTCTTTATCTTTATCTTCTTATTAAACGGTCTGTACACTTACAAAGTTCTCAATGCTTCGTTTTGCATGTAGGGACCCTCATTATGTTACTGTGTTCGTGTGGGGCTATTTTGAGCCTTGTTAGTGGTATAAACTAGCGATTTCTTTTTACTTATTATATGCCCCCATTACTAGCGTTATACGCTAAACAGTTTTTAGAGATAAAACTCTTTACATTCGATGATCATGAAAACAAATCTCAGAGAACGGTTGACTAGGTACCAATGTGTTATTAGACCAAAGGTTCATTTTGCGCCGGAGTTCTCCTTTAATGTCCGTGTCACTATGAAGTAAAAAGTAATAACATTTTCTATAATAACTATAATGGTAACATGCGTCTAATAATAATAAACAACCCCCGCATACACAATTAGATAAAACATAGGCAATATTTTTCTCTTCAAGGCTGAGTCAGGACTTCACTGGAACAGAACATGACATCTACACACACACAGAGCACTGATATAAACTACTACACATGATTCACTGTCATAGTTTAACAATGGTGATATAAACCCTTAAAAGAATTACACGTGCTAAGTATTCATGTGTTTATGAATACATGTAGTGTGTTCTTGACCTCATGAGCTTATAGACACAGTTGTCTTGACATGTCTCATGCAGCTATCATGAGAACAGCAGAATAAAGTTCAAAATGACAATTCTCTTTCTAAAAAAAATAACTAATTAAATTGCTCATACAACCGAATTAATCAAATCACTAAACAAGTACATGTTTATTCTCTGTAAGCCGGGCTAAATGAGTAAAGACTGTCACTGCATTCCTGACATGGGTCAGATCAACATCTGTAACATAAATATCAGAATAGATAGACTTTAAGATTTCCAATTCATTACTGAATACAAGAAGAGGATTGTAAAGCTAGTTCACATAGAAACACAATTAAAATCAGCAGAACTCAACCATAAACAGCTTCGACAGAGCTTTATTATTGTCCCAAAGCAGACTTCTTACGTCAGCGCGTTTTGACCTTGTGCTTGGTCATACCAATGATCTTCATTCTTTTTGCACACTCGGCGTCATACCGGTAATTTACTGGTAATGTTACAACTTCTCAAACTGGGAAAGTACCAGAACTGATTAACTGGTATTTTTTGAAAAGGTGCTGTTCAACACATGATCTCTCAATGGTCATTTACCAGTGTTGTGACCTATGCAGTCACGTCACATGCAGTACATGTGAAAGGGGATATTAACTAACTACTTTTTTTTTTTCCATCATTGTGATTTCAGGACAGTTGTACCACTGTCACATTATCAACATTATTCCTACAATAAAATATACAAATTTAGAATTTAAAACCATGTCCAATCTAGAATAGATGCATTCAAGTTGTTAAAAATGCAATTCATACGTAAAATGTGTCTTTTAATAAATGAATAGATTGGAAAAAGAATGAGCGTCGCATCATGGACCTGGATGTTTTGTTTAATTTTTGTAAAAAATAATGTGTTTTATCTCCATATGATGCCAAAAGTCAAATCTGGGTCCTGAAGCAAGGCCAATTGAAAACCAATGGTATATACAGTGTAGATTATTATATGATATAGGATATTAAAGGGTTAGTTCACCAAAAATGAAAATTTTATCATTGTTTACTCACCCTCATTTCATTCCATACCCGTAAGACTTTTTTTCACCTGCGGAACACAAATGAAGATCTTTTTGATGAGATTCCTGTCCCTTCATTGACAGCTACGCAACTGAAACTATGATGCCTCAAAAAGTTAATAAAGGGATCTTAAATCTAATCCATATGAATTGAGCGGTTTAGTCCAAATTTTCTGAAGAGACACGATCACTTTATGATGAACTGATTGAATTTAGGCTTTTATCCACATAAAAACACGGACCAGTGAACCTAAACAGAAGCTCAAACAAACTTGCATGACGCGCGAGAACAAACCTCTTGCGGAAGCTCAAACATGATGCGTAACACGAGAATGAACCTCATTGGTTCTTGCTGAAGCTCAAACGTGATGCGTAACACGAGAATGAATCTCATTGGTTCTTGCGGAAGCTCAAACGTGCTGCCTAACACGAGAATGAACCTTATTGGCTCTTGCTGAAGCTCAAACGTGATGCGTAACACGAGAATGAACCTCATTGGTTCTTGCGTAAGCTCAAACATGATGCGTAACACGAGAATGAACCTCATTGGTTCTTGCGTAAGCTCAAACATGATGGTTAACACGAGAATGAACCTCATTGGTTCTTGCGTAAGCTCAAACATGATGCGTAACACCAGAATGAACCTCATTGGTTCTTGCGTAAGCTCAAACGTGCTGCGTAACACGAGAATGAACCTCATTGGTTCTTGCGTAAGCTCAAACGTGATGCGTAACACGAGAATGAACCTCATTGGTTCTTGCGTAAGCTCAAACGTGATGCGTAACACGAGAATGAACCTCATTGGTTCTTGCGGAAGCTCAAACATGATGCGTTACACGAGAATGAACCTCATTGGTTCTTGCTGAAGCTCAAGCGTGATGCGTAACACGAGAATGAACCTCATTGGTTCTTGCAGAAGCTCAAACATGATGCGTTACACGAGAATGAACCTCATTGGTTCTTGCTAAAACTCAAACGTGATGCGTAACACGAGAATGAACCTCATTGGTTCTTGCAGAAGCACAAACGTGCTGCGTAACACGAGAATGAACCTCATTGGTTCTTGCTGAAGCTCAAACGTGATGCGTAACACGAGAATGAACCTCATTGGTTCTTGCTGAAGCTCAAACGTGATGCGTAACACAAGAATGAACCTCATTGGTTCTTGCTGAAGCTCAAACGTGATGCGTAACACGAGAATGAACCTCATTGGTTCTTGCAGAAGCTCAAACATGATGCGTTACACGAGAATGAACCTCATTGGTTCTTGCTAAAACTCAAACGTGATGCGTAACACGAGAATGAACCTCATTGGTTCTTGCAGAAGCACAAACGTGCTGCGTAACACGAGAATGAACCTCATTGGTTCTTGCTGAAGCTCAAACGTGCTGCGTAACACGAGAATGAACCTCATTGGTTCTTGCTGAAGCTCAAACGTGATGCGTAACACGAGAATGAACCTCATTGGTTCTTGCTGAAGCTCAAACGTGATGCGTAACACGAGAATGAACCTCATTGGTTCTTGCTGAAGCTCAAGCGTGATGCGTAACACGAGAATGAACCTCATTGGTTCTTGCGGAAGCTCAAACATGATGCGTAACACGAGAATGAACCTCATTGGTTCTTGCGTAAGCTCAAACGTGATGCGTAACACGAGAATGAACCTCATTGGTTCTTGCGTAAGCTCAAACATGATGCGTAACACGAGAATGAACCTCATTGGTTCTTGCGTAAGCTCAAACGTGATGCGTAACACGAGAATGAACCTCATTGGTTCTTGCTGAAGCTCAAACGTGATGCGTAACACGAGAATGAACCTCATTGGTTCTTGCTGAAGCTCAAACGTGATGCGTAACACGAGAATGAACCTCATTGGTTCTTGCTGAAGCTCAAACATGATGCGTAACACGAGAATGAACCTCATTGGTTCTTGCGTAAGCTCAAACGTGATGCGTAACACGAGAATGAACCTCATTGGTTCTTGCGTAAGCTCAAACATGATGCGTAACACGAGAATGAACCTCATTGGTTCTTGCGTAAGCTCAAACGTGATGCGTAACACGAGAATGAACCTCATTGGTTCTTGCTGAAGCTCAAACGTGATGCGTAACACGAGAATGAACCTCATTGGTTCTTGCTGAAGCTCAAACGTGATGCGTAACACCAGAATGAACCTCATTGGTTCTTGCTGAAGCTCAAACGTGATGCATAACACGAGAATGAACCTCATTGGTTCTTGCTGAAGCTCAAACGTGATGCGTAACACGAGAATGAACCTCATTGGTTCTTGCTGAAGCTCAAACGTGATGCGTAACACGAGAATGAACCTCATTGGTTCTTGCTGAAGCTCAAACGTGATGCGTAACACCAGAATGAACCTCATTGGTTCTAGCTAAAACTCAAACGTGATGCGTAACACGAGAATGAACCTCATTGGTTCTTGCTGAAGCTCAAACGTGATGCGTAACACGAGAATGAACCTCATTGGTTCTTGCGTAAGCTCAAACGTGATGCGTAACACGAGAATGAACCTCATTGGTTCTAGCTAAAACTCAAACGTGCTGCGTAACACGAGAATGAACCTCATTGGTTCTTGCGTAAGCTCAAACGTGATGCGTAACACGAGAATGAACCTCATTGGTTCTTGCGTAAGCTCAAACATGATGCGTAACACGAGAATGAACCTCATTGGTTCTTGCAGAAGCTCAAACATGATGCGTAACACGAGAATGAACCTCATTGGTTCTTGCGTAAGCTCAAACGTGATGCGTAACACGAGAATGAACCTCATTGGTTCTTGCTGAAGCTCAAACGTGATGCGTAACACGAGAATGAACCTCATTGGTTCTTGCTGAAGCTCAAACGTGATGCGTAACACGAGAATGAACCTCATTGGTTCTTGCTGAAGCTCAAACGTGATGCGTAACACCAGAATGAACCTCATTGGTTCTTGCTGAAGCTCAAACGTGATGCGTAACACGAGAATGAACCTCATTGGTTCTTGCTGAAGCTCAAACGTGATGCGTAACACGAGAATGAACCTCATTGGTTCTTGCTGAAGCTCAAACGTGATGCGTAACACCAGAATGAACCTCATTGGTTCTAGCTAAAACTCAAACGTGATGCGTAACACGAGAATGAACCTCATTGGTTCTAGCTAAAACTCAAACGTGATGCGTAACACGAGAATGAACCTCATTGGTTCTTGCTGAAGCTCAAACGTGATGCGTAACACGAGAATTAACCTCATTGGTTCTTGCTGAAGCTCAAACGTGATGCGTAACACCAGAATGAACCTCATTGGTTTTTGCTGAAGCTCAAACGTGATGCGTAACACGAGAATGAACCTCATTGGTTCTTGCTGAAGCTCAAACGTGATGCGTAACACGAGAATGAACCTCATTGGTTCTTGCTGAAGCTCAAACGTGATGCGTAACACGAGAATGAACCTCATTGGTTCTTGCTGAAGCTCAAACGTGATGCGTAACACGAGAATGAACCTCATTGGTTCTAGCTAAAACTCAAACGTGCTGCGTAACACGAGAATAAACCTCATTGGTTTTTGCTGAAGCTCAAACGTGATGCGTAACATGAGAATGAACCTCATTGGTTCTTGCTAAAACTCAAACGTGATGCGTAACACGAGAATGAACCTCATTGGTTCTTGCTGAAGCTCAAACGTGATGCGTAACACGAGAATGAACCTCATTGGTTTTTGCTGAAGCTCAAACGTGATGCGTAACACGAGAATGAACCTCATTGGTTCTTGCTAAAACTCAAACGTGATGCGTAACACGAGAATGAACCTCATTGGTTCTTGCTGAAGCTCAAACGTGATGCGTAACACGAGAATGAACCTCATTGGTTTTTGCTGAAGCTCAAACGTGATGCGTAACACGAGAATGAACCTCATTGGTTCTTGCTGAAACTCAAACGTGATGCGTAACACGAGAATGAACCTCTTGGTTCTTGCTGAAGCTCAAACGTGATGCGTAACACGAGAATGAACCTCATTGGTTCTTGCTGAAGCTCAAACGTGATGCGTAACACGAGAATGAACCTCATTGGTTCTTGCTAAAACTCAAACGTGATGCGTAACACGAGAATGAACCTCATTGGTTCTTGCTGAAGCTCAAACGTGATGCGTAACACGAGAATGAACCTCATTGGTTCTTGCTAAAACTCAAACGTGATGCGTAACACGAGAATGAACCTTATTGGCTCTTGCTGAAGCTCAAACGTGATGCGTAACACGAGAATGAACCTCATTGGTTCTTGCTGAAGCTCAAACGTGATGCGTAACACGAGAATGAACCTCATTGGTTCTTGCTGAAGCTCAAACGTGATGCGTAACACGAGAATGAACCTCATTGGTTCTTGCTGAAGCTCAAACGTGATGCGTAACACCAGAATGAACCTCATTGGTTCTTGCTGAAGCTCAAACGTGATGCGTAACACGAGAATGAACCTCATTGGTTCTTGCTGAAGCTCAAACGTGATGCGTAACACGAGAATGAACCTCATTGGTTCTTGCTGAAGCTCAAACGTGATGCGTAACACCAGAATGAACCTCATTGGTTCTAGCTAAAACTCAAACGTGATGCGTAACACGAGAATGAACCTCATTGGTTCTAGCTAAAACTCAAACGTGATGCGTAACACGAGAATGAACCTCATTGGTTCTTGCTGAAGCTCAAACGTGATGCGTAACACGAGAATTAACCTCATTGGTTCTTGCTGAAGCTCAAACGTGATGCGTAACACCAGAATGAACCTCATTGGTTTTTGCTGAAGCTCAAACGTGATGCGTAACACGAGAATTAACCTCATTGGTTCTTGCTGAAGCTCAAACGTGATGCGTAACACCAGAATGAACCTCATTGGTTTTTGCTGAAGCTCAAACATGATGCGTAACACGAGAATGAACCTCATTGGTTCTTGCTGAAGCTCAAACGTGATGCGTAACACGAGAATGAACCTCATTGGTTCTTGCTGAAGCTCAAACGTGATGCGTAACACGAGAATGAACCTCATTGGTTCTTGCTGAAGCTCAAACGTGATGCGTAACACGAGAATGAACCTCATTGGTTCTAGCTAAAACTCAAACGTGCTGCGTAACACGAGAATAAACCTCATTGGTTTTTGCTGAAGCTCAAACGTGATGCGTAACATGAGAATGAACCTCATTGGTTCTTGCTAAAACTCAAACGTGATGCGTAACACGAGAATGAACCTCATTGGTTCTTGCTGAAGCTCAAACGTGATGCGTAACACGAGAATGAACCTCATTGGTTTTTGCTGAAGCTCAAACGTGATGCGTAACACGAGAATGAACCTCATTGGTTCTTGCTAAAACTCAAACGTGATGCGTAACACGAGAATGAACCTCATTGGTTCTTGCTGAAGCTCAAACGTGATGCGTAACACGAGAATGAACCTCATTGGTTTTTGCTGAAGCTCAAACGTGATGCGTAACACGAGAATGAACCTCATTGGTTCTTGCTGAAACTCAAACGTGATGCGTAACACGAGAATGAACCTCATTGGTTCTTGCTGAAGCTCAAACGTGATGCGTAACACGAGAATGAACCTCATTGGTTCTTGCTGAAGCTCAAACGTGATGCGTAACACGAGAATGAACCTCATTGGTTCTTGCTAAAACTCAAACGTGATGCGTAACACGAGAATGAACCTCATTGGTTCTTGCTGAAGCTCAAACGTGATGCGTAACACGAGAATGAACCTCATTGGTTCTTGCTAAAACTCAAACGTGATGCGTAACACGAGAATGAACCTTATTGGCTCTTGCTGAAGCTCAAACGTGATGCGTAACACGAGAATGAACCTCATTGGTTCTTGCTGAAGCTCAAACGTGATGCGTAACACGAGAATGAATCTCATTGGTTCTCACTTCTCAAGCGAACATGCTTTGAGCTTCTGTTTCGCACAACTGATGTATGAGTTGATGAATGTTTGTATGTGAATAACAGCCAAAAATAAACCTGATCATCATATAAAGTGATCGAGTCTTCAGAACATTTGGAATGGGAACCTCTCAATTCATATGGATTAGTTTTACGATCTCTTTATGAATTTATTTGAAGCGTCAAAGTGGTAGTTGCGTAGCTGTCAATGAGGGACAGAAAGCTCTCCGATTTCATTAAAAATATCTTCATTTGTGTTCTGAAGATGAACGAAAGTCTTACAAGTTTGGAATGACATGATGGTGAACTAACCCTTTAACTGCTCAAACTATGTTATACATATTTCCAAACGGACCCCAGTATTCATTTCTATGCTAATCACTTGTGTTCTTACAGTAACTGAATACCTGTCTTTACTCCATACAGCCTCCACACGGTTTGTGAAATGTGAAAAGTGCCATCATTTCTTTGTGGTTCTGTCTGAGACGGACTCCAAGAAAGGTTTAAATAAGGAAGCAGAGAGCTCTGAGCATGTTAAATTTGCATTTGCTCAGAAACCCCCTCCGCCTCCTAAAAAGGTACGATTCCAACACACCATACACAGTGTTGTTATTATTATTACATCAACTTAGTTCATCTTTGTGTGATTAAATAAAAGTAAACTTCTAAAAGCCAATCCTGTGACCGCAGTTCTTAGAATTGGAATCTTGGAAATGCAGTAAACAAATCTGACATGGGCTTCTTTTGTCTCAATGTCTTTAGATTTATGCCTACCTTGACAAATTTGTTGTTGGCCAGTCGTATGCCAAGAAAGTGTTGTCAGTTGCCGTTTATAATCATTACAAACGGATCAACAACAACCTCCCAGCAGCGGGCCGACAGCCAGCGGAAACAGAGAAACAGAGTTCCCTCTCTCCCAGAGGTTTGTGTGTAATCATGATCTAGCATTTATTCATAAAATCAATATATAAATGCTGCCAAAATTGTTATTCATTGCTTATGATATCGAATGGATTGACTAATGTTAGCAAATTGAAACTTACTGTAAAATGTTTGACAGCAGTACGGGTCTTAAAAAGTCTTAATTCACCCTTACTCAAATTAAGGTCTTAATAGGTTCTTAAACCAGAGCAGGAAGTCTTAAATTAAGTAAGTCATGGAATTAAATGTTGCATGCAATGCAAAAAATGAATATCTTCCTCAGTATTTTTGTCCTGTTTTTCAATGCAAACGTCTTTGAAACATTTACTTGAGATACAAATGTAAAATTAAGTCTTGAAAAATGCAACAAAATTAAGTGTGTTTGTGATTAAAACTAGACCAAATTTCTGTCAATGAGTTGTGAAAACTTCCCCTTGAATTAAGTTGGTAGATATTTGTTGAAATTGTTTTAATCATAAACTTGCTTCAGTTTGATCAGAGAAAACAAGACTATATGTTCCGTCATGTTATATCTCAAGTAAATGCATCTTGATTTAAAGTTGCAGTAAGTGATTTCTGAGACCTGCTGTTGAAAGTGGATCAGACCGAGCAGCACAACACACTTGTAGTCAATCAGCAGTGAGAAGTGTGTCCACCCATGATGGGGGAGGAGAGAGAAAGAAAGACTGTAGAGAGAGAGAGAGATGGCTGAGAGGTCAGGGTTGTTTTGAGTGTCATTAATCACCTCTTTACCACGAGCTAAACTCGTTCAAATTAACAACTCATTCTTGAACAGTTAAAGGTACAGTAAGCGATTTTTCAAAAACGCTGTTGAAAAGTTGTCGGACCGAGCACTACAACAAACGTGTAGCCAATCAGCAGTAGGGGGCGTGTCCACTCATGATGGGGGAGGAGAGAGAGTGAGCCAATCAGCAGTAGGGGGTGTGTCCACTCATGATGGAGGAGGAGAGAGAGTGAGCCAATCAGCAGTAGGGGGTGTGTCCACTTATGATGGAGGAGGAGAGAGAGTGAGCCAATCAGCAGTAGGGGGCGTATCCACTCATGATGGGGGAGGAGAGAGAGTGAGCCAATCAGCAGTAGGGGGAGTATCCACTCATGATGGGGGAGGAGAGAGAGTGAGCCAATCAGCAGTAGGGGGCGTGTCCACTCATGATGGGGGAGGAGAGAGAGTGAGCCAATCAGCAGTAGGGGGCGTATCCACTAATGGTGGGGGAGGAGAGAGAGTGAGCCAATCAGCAGTAGGGGGTGGATCCACTAATGATGGGGGAGGAGAGAGAGTGAGCAAATCAGCAGTAGGGGGCGTATCCACTCATGATGGGGGAGGAGAGAGAGTTAGCCGATCAGCAGTAGGGGGCGTGTCCACTCATGATGGGGGAGGAGAGAGAGTGAGCCAATCAGCAGTAGAGGGCGTATCCACTAATGATGGGGGAGGAGAGAGAGTGAGCCAATCAGCAGTAGGGGGCGTATCCACTCATGATGGGGGAGGAGAGAGAGTGAGCCAATCAGCAGTAGGGGGCGTATCCACTCATGATGGGGGAGGAGAGAGAGTGAGCCAATCAGCAGTAGGGGGCGTATCCACTCATGATGGGGGAGGAGAGAGAGTGAGCCAATCAGCAGTAGGGGGCGTATCCACTCATGATGGGGGAGGAGAGAGAGTGAGCCAATCAGCAGTAGAGGGCGTATCCACTAATGATGGGGGAGGAGAGAGAGTGAGCCAATCAGCAGTAGGGGGCGTATCCACTCATGATGGGGGAGGAGAGAGAGTGAGCCAATCAGCAGTAGGGGGCGTATCCACTCATGATGGGGGAGGAGAGAGAGTGAGCCAATCAGCAGTAGGGGGCGTATCCACTCATGATGGGGGAGGAGAGAGAGTTAGCCAATCCGCAGTAGGGGGCGTGTCCACTCATGATGGGGAGGAGAGAGAGTTAGCCAATCAGCAGTAGGGGGCGTGTCCACTCATGATGGGGAGGAGAGAGAGTGAGCCAATCAGCAGTAGGGGGCGTGTCCACTCATGATGGGGGAGGAGAGAGAGTGAGCCAATCAGCAGTAGGGGGCGTGTCCACTCATGATGTGGGAGGAGAGAGAGTGAGCCAATCAGCAGTAGGGGGCGTATCCACTCATGATGGGGGAGGAGAGAGAGTGAGCCAATCAGCAGTAGGGGGCGTGTCCACTCATGATGTGGGAGGATGATGTATTGTTTTCCCTTCAATTGATTCCTTACATTTTTTTCACTTTGTCTTAAAAAGGTCTTAAAAGCCTTAGATTTACCTTCATAAAACCGGCAGAAACTCTAAGTATATTGAAAAACACCCTGTCGGGGGAAAACACACACCAGGCCAAGCAAACACAGGAATTAGAGTTCTCAACGGGCCTGAAAATTACAACCCGACCCGACCCGGCCCGTGGCTTTTAAAGCCCGGACCCGATGTAACCCGACACATCAACATGAATTATCTGCCCGAACCCGGCCCGGCGCCACCCTTTTGATCGGTGAGTGATGTAGAATAGAATGACTGCTGCGCTTGACGCAGAGAGAGAGCCCCGGCCGCGCGCGCGCGCACTCTCACGTCTCCCACGTTCCGCCCATCCAGCTGACATAAACCACATTTCAATAAACGAAAAAACCTATCCAGTGATTAAATGTTTTCTGTATTGACGCAAATCTTGTGCGATGTCCTAAACTGCCGAGATAATCACACGTGTGCCGTGGCTAGACGTCCGATACGCAAACGAATGACTCATTTTAACCATTCACTTTAACTCAACACTGAACTCACGAGACCTCTGAATCGGTGTATAAAAAAATCGGTAACACTTAATTAGATTAGTTAACATTTACTATTAATAAACTGCACTTCTACAGCATTGTTAATGTTAATTTCAATATTTAGATAGTAAAGGCGTGCACGCAGCGGCGTCAGGTCTGCCCTCGCGTCGCGATGCACGTTGCACGCAGCAGCCAGACTTTCTTTACAGTGAACAGCAGCGATGAATAATAAATGTTTTTTTTTTCACTGTACAATTCAAAAGATTAAGCCCGAGGTCCGACCCGACCCGAGTCATTTGCAAATATTTTCGACCCGAACCCGCGGGTCCCGTCGGGTTTGTCCGGCCGACCCGACCCGTTGAGAACTCTAACAGGAATCACCGGGGCTGGGACTGGCAGATCCGACCGACAACACAGAAAAACACATAAGCTGGGAAAAAAACACAATGAACCAGCTCAGGACAGAAAACACAGGGAGATTAAATAGGGAAGGAAACTAGGGATGACAGGATAGGGCAAATAAACCAATGGCCAGGTAACAAGCGGGATGGGGCCAAGACTAAAGCCTGACAGAAGAGCACATGGCACACAGAAACAAACAAAAAGCATTTGCATAATGTCCCACCTGTCCTCCCTCATTACTCTATGCATAATACACACAAACACTCAAGACACACACATAAGAGCGCACGGCCCCAAAGCCATACGCTCACACAAACATGAGACGCATGCGTGCCAGGATCTTTGTGATCTGAAATACAGTAAAACCAGAAATATTGTGAAATACTATTAAAATTTTAATTTAAATAAATTATTTCTATTTGAATATTTTTAAAAATGTAATTTATTCCTGTGATCAAAGCTGTATTTTCAGCATCATTACTCCAGTCTTCAGTGTCACATGATCCTTCAGAAATCACTCTAATATGATGATTTGCTGCTCAAGAAACATTCATCATCATCATCATCAATGTTGAAAACAGTTGTGCTGCTTCATATTTTGTTGAAAGTTCAAGAAGCATTTATTTGAAATGTAATTTTTTGTTTCAGTTTTGCTTTAAATTATTTTGTTTTGGCTTGTTTATAGTTAGGCTAGTTATATTTTTCATTCTTGTTCTGTTCTAAATACCGTTACATTTAAAGGATTTGTTGTGGAGTGAGGGGAACTAATATAGCCTATAGCGATGCTCATGGTGTTTATAATGTTTCTACTAGCCCTACATTATAACATTAACATTTACCGGTATTATTTCTTAATGCAATAAAATGCCACTTATATGTGACTTACCTGTTTTTTTTTTTGTCGTTTTTTTTTTTCAAAAACAAATATTTGTAGGGCATTTGTTAAGCATGCTGCAAACGAAAGTAGGCTATTCATTTGTTAAAACTCTTGCTGTCGGTGAACCGGCTAATTAGCATCCTTGTGTTTATAGCTAGATCAAGTCAGTGCAGGATCAACTTTGCCTCGAGGATCAGCCAGTGCATCATCAGAAGCGGTGGTTAAGAGCTGGACTTGTGTGCCATCTAGGGGTTTAAAGGAGAATAAAGGCAAATGCACCTTTGGCCCAGTTGTATACAAGTATTCTTATGATTAGCTTGACTTGTTTGAATGTAAATGGTTGTAGGCCTATATATGGGTCGCGTCAATAAAAAAAAAAAAGGGTTGCTCTTAAAAAGGTTTGACGACCACTGTTCTATGCTGTCCGCACTTTGACCTTTCCCCTTCTGTAACTGTTACACAACTCATTTTGTGGTGTTAGTAATTTGACTGTCCTTCTCTCTGTAGAATTAGAGATCAGAAGGCGTGAAGATGAATACCGGTTTACAAGTAAGTGATTGTTAAATGTGCTTCACTTTTACATAAAATAAAGTATCAGAGGAAACACGGTTGATTTTCTGGAGTGAGCCTTTTGTATCGGTTTGTTATACAAACATGACTGGACGTTCATGTACACAATACACATATCAGCCCTCTGTGATACTGGCCACTTCACGATCAGTTGTGCTCATCGCTCGCCTCCATAAAGTTGGATAAAGTGTCTTAATGTCCTAGTTAGTGTCTGAGCTTGGCCAGCACACGGCCTCTGCCCATCCTGATGTCACACGTTATATATAGCGTGGAGGTGGGCCCGTAGGTCCGGCTCATACTGGACACGCTCGAAACGAGGCCGTTCTGATGACATCATTATGGTTTGAGTAATAGATCCTGAGATATGAAATGAAGATGTGTGTCGGCTCGGGTATAAAAGTGAAATAGATTCTAAATTAAAATCTTTGTTAAAGCAATAGTTTTCCCATTATTAATAATTATCATTTTTTTCCTTCCATAAAATACTATTAGATATTTTGTAAAATGTCTCACACAAAAAAATTACTCTAAAAACAAAAATAGCAAATTCCATACATGACCAAAAGTAGAACTTTGAGGAAACTAAATGTCAGCCGTATCTGTGTTTGGTTATTGCATGTTTTCAGAGAGATTTAGCCACAGGAGTTGTGGGCAGGAGAAGCGTCGACAGCAGGATGCCTGTGGAGTCATGTGGCTCTTCTGTGTTTAAATAAACTACACATGCTTTACTGGGTTGAGGTGAAGTGAAGTGGTGCTGTTCTTTCAGAGCTGCTTCAGATCGCTGGCATCAGTCCCCATGGCAACGCTCTGGGTGCATCGGTTCAGCAGCAGACCAATCAGCAAGCTCCTCAAGACAAAAGGGGCGGGGACGTGCTTGACTCCACCCACACTGATATCAAACTGGAGAAAAGCAATGTTGTGCTGCTGGGACCTACTGGGTCAGGTTAGTGCAGGTTTTCCACATTACACTTTATCGCACCATCTTGTGGACAATTTTTACAGTAATTGGTGCATAGCCTTGCGTAGACATCCCGGAGGGACGAGGATCTGCCATTTACAGTTTAAATTAGCAGATGCCTAAGCTTAAATGGCTATATTGATAAATATTTATCCAATTTATATTTTACTGGGAACCTCATGAAAATATCAAGGATTTCCCCCAAATATGAAAATGTTTCGAAGCATTAATTAACATTTTAATTCATGTTGAAAAAAAATATATATATATATTGAGAAAAAATATTTTTTTCCCCCCGTTCTATATTTATATGACAGTTAAGCGAACCTCATATTTTCATTACCGTAAGGGAATAGATAATGTTATTTAAATTGTAGACTGTAGAGTACATTTGTAAGTATTTGTTGTACTAAAGTTAATAATAAAAACGACAACAACAACAACTGAAATATGTTGCTGCATATGTTGTGCTGAACAGGATTTGTATTGCAGTAATGATACAAAAATTAATAAAAAATGTATCATGATAATTAGGAATTTAGGAGAAATGTGCTTAATTTTCATGAAAATTATGCAAAATATTATTTTTATCTTATATTTCGGGGGGGGGGGGGGGGGATGGGTGAAATGAATTATTTATTTGATTCATCCTTTCATAATATTTCAGCTAGAGCCCGACCGATATGGATTTTTGGGGGCCGATGCCGATACCGATATTAGGGAGTAAAAAAAGCCCGATACCGATATATCGGCCGATATTATTTATGTGTATATTATAATACAGTAGCAATATTATTTATGTGTATTATAGTACAGTATACCAGTCAAAAGTTTGGACACTTTCCTATTGGTGTGTACAAACTTTTGATGGGTACTTTACACAGTATAAACAGAATAAATATATTTTATAAACACGTTTTGCAATGATCACTCAAATGTGGTGATCAAACACTTGTGTGACACAGATATGTAATGGATGCAGGGGGAATGATAGAATGAGAATTATACAGCTGAGCTGTAACCAAACTTTTAAAATTACATATGTACCGAACTTTTTAAGTTCGGTGGTTACAGCTTTTTAAGCTGTAACCAAACTTTTTAATTACATATGTACAGTACTTTTATACTATTTTAAATAATTAGTAAGCAAAATGTACTAAACGTGAAACTAGGCTACTCTTAATGCAAAATGGCCCTATATAAAGTGTTATAATTATATAAATTATTGGAATATTGCTTGATGTTGTAACGTAGCGTTATCAGGCAGAAACGGTGTCTACACCGGACGCGGCCGTTATTGCTCGCGTCGCAACAGCTGTTTACCCGAGACAAAGCAGAATCAGTTTACTGTCGGAGATCGCTCGCGCCACGCATTTTAATCAATGTTTCATCAACCAATTGCCTTAATAAATAAGAAGTAGGCCTAAATATAGCAGACAATATAATCAGGACTTCTCAGCTGCGCGCTTTGCAATAGTCACAAGCTCACACAATACGTGACAGAGGCTGGTAGCAGAGAAATCAATTCTGTGAATTACACTGCGCAAATCACAAGTAGGCTACTACCCACCGGATGAAGAAGGGTTGGCTCTCAGTCTCCACAGGCTACATAAAATATTCATTTTATTTATTTTTCGTGTTCGCATTAAGGAAAAACAATGTTACAGACGCGACAGTTCAGCACTACGGACGTGAGCGCTCTGAAAGCGGCACTAAAATATGCTTTGAAACTTTCACATAGACATCAAACAGTAAGCACAAAACCTTTCGTTTCAAAGTGAATTTCGTTTTGTATTAATTGTATCTTAATTTTAATCAATGTTTCATCAACCATTTGTCTGGATTTAATTTATAAGAAGTAAATTTAGCAGACGATAGATAATCTCGACACGGAGGCGCCTGCGGGTGAACTGGAGCTCGTCTCATGAACCGAAACTCAGCGTATAGACCTGAGAATTGAAATATATCTATATTGAAATGTCTGCTTTTAAACAGAACAATTCAAAACGAAAGACAGACAGACTCATGTAATCGTATGAAATGTGCATTTCTCTCTGGCACGCGTTCACTGAAGATTGCGAGTCAGCATCGTCAACTTCATCTTTGGCTGACACTGACTGAAAACACTTGTTTATTAATAAAAAATTAAAATGTCTCCTTGCTATATTTGTTGTATTCATAATCATTACTTTTGCCAGTTCTTGTGACAGCTTTTAGGTGCTTTATTGGAAGCGCCACCCTTACATGAATCACCGCACCCGCATTTTTTAAAATATTCATTTATCGGCCATTATAAATGCCGATACCGATAGTTAGGAAAATGCCTAAAATCGTCCGATAATATCGGCCCGCCGATATATCGGTCGGGCTCTAATTTCAGCACTACTGTAGTATTAAACACAGAGCAAGAGCAAGACTGAGCAAGAGGCCTGCTAAGTGTCATACTCAGAAAACCTCAGAACTAGTGTTACATTATCAGCAAAAATAATCTGTGCCATGTCTGAATAATTTTTTTTTTTAAATCAAATGATTTTGCTCATTTTGATATTTATTGAAGCTTGAAATTGTGTCAATCCTTTCATGATATTGCTCACACTGCCCCAGGTAAAACCCTGCTGGCTCAGACTCTGGCTAAATGCTTGGATGTGCCGTTCGCCATCTGCGATTGCACCACCCTGACCCAGGCGGGATATGTAGGCGAGGACATCGAATCTGTCATTGCCAAACTTCTGCAGGACGCCAACTACTCTGTTGAGAAAGCCCAGCAAGGTCAGACTCTCCACAATGTCAAACACTTCATCCTAACACCTCAACATGACACCGTTTTCAACTAAAAAACAAATGTCCCCTCTCTTCCACTTACACTGCAGTCACGCCTTTTCCATTAAGGGACAATATTTTCCTCTTTAAATTGATTTTCAGGTGCATTTTTACCTTTACAAGGCAACGTTTTTCTAACCCAATTAAATGTGTGTCATGTTTTGTCAAATTCAAAAAAATTCCATTGATTGATTTATTAATATAATAAATAAAGCAATAAATTAATTTAAATAACTAATTTCAATCAAATGAAATCCGTATCAACAAAAGCCGTCTTTGCATTGCAGTGGCACAAGCTGCATCTGGATGTCTTTACACTGTTTAATGCTGCTCAGAGCTGACGCGAATGCAATTACAATGCCATAAATCATGTTTTAGATATTGTTTTAAAGTCCCCCTGTAGTAAATAATGCCTTGTATTTGACTTTTTACGGCACTATAATGTTCCCAATTTTATACTAGATGTGGCTTTTTGCCTGTTAGAAATACATGCTTGGTTTTAATGTTATTTAAAGATGGAGTAGAATTGAATGAATGGCAAAACTCAGCATTGTGTTCATGTTCCCCCCCTGTCACCTCACACCCCAGTTTGGGAACCACTTGTTTACACAACCACAGCGTTTTGTAAGCCTGAAAATGCACAATTTTTAAAACCGGTTTCAAAGTGCATGTTTTTAAAAACAGAATTGTTATCGTCTCTTTGTAAATTACAAACACGCAAATTTGTGGAAACGGTGACTTCATGCGCATGCATGTTACGTGTTCGGTTTATAGGTGTGTGGTGTTTCTTTACAAAGTAACATCAACTACTGGCCTGGCATGAATAATACAGCGTTTTTAGTCGTTATCGTGAATCCGTGTCAGTAAACCGACAGTAACTGATTTAATTGGTGACCATTAGAGGAGGTATTTAAAAAATGTGTGCCGATATTCCATAAAATACGTTTTACTGTAGTACAGGAGCTAAAGATAGCCAGACTGATGACGTACTTTTATAACATTGTACATTTATGTTCTGCATTCCAATGAAGCAAGCACACTAAAATAATGCCGCCCAACTATATAAAAACGTAATTTAATACGCAATGACATATTCTTTCATTATGAGGAACAGAAGTTGACTAATATAAAACGCCTCCATGCTTGACCTTTAAACATTTCACTGAATCATTTGGATTCCTCTTTCGAAGTGAACATTTATTTTTAAAAAGGAACGCTTGTCTGTGATTCGTCTCTCTCAGGGATAGTGTTCCTGGATGAGGTGGATAAGATCGGCAGTGTGCCTGGGATTCATCAGCTGAGAGATGTCGGGGGGGAAGGAGTTCAGCAGGTACGTGATTATATTTCAACTAGAGATGCACCATGATCGGCGACCGGCTGGTCAGTCTGACATATTCCGATTTTATGCCGGTCAAATGCACTCGGGCGCCACATGATTAAGATCGCGCAACATCTGCATCACACGTGCACACGGAACGCACGTGTAGGAAACCTCGTGAATTACGGCCGTTTCACACAGCAAACGTGAGCAGCGCGTTTTTTTGTTCGACGTGCATGTTAATCAATGAGTGCATTCACACCGGGAGCAGGAGCAGCGCGTGAGCATCGAGCAGGAGCGTCGCGTGAGCAGCAGTGAAGCGCGGGTTTCGGAGCAGAGTCTATTTGCTGCGCTGCTCACGTTTAAAGCACACTTTTGATGGACAAAATAAATATGATTTCACACCAAAATGCACAGAATTTGCATGTCTGGTGTGTTTTAAAAAGAACTGGAGTAGGCTATGTTAGAAAAGAAAATGAATACTCAAAAATATTTATAGAAAATGTACCCATTTAAACTTGTTTTTATTATTTCCCAATTGTTTCCCCACTTGCTCCATTGCCCGGGCTTAGCGCTTGTTTAGCCTGGCTGGACATGTGTCAGATGAGAGAAGAACTTTTTGTGAAATAAAACTAGCCATTGATGTACAAGTGATTGCATTAGGTGTGTGTGTGTGTGTGTGTTTTGAGAAATATCTTTATACTGCAAGGCTATATATATATATATTATATTATTTTATTGCCATTACCTGTTTTCATACAGAAGTTTAGTTTGCTAAATATATCAATTTGTTTTAGTTGGATATTGAATGTGAAAAGAAGGAAATGGTTCTTCCATAACACTGCACTTTAGATGTGTGTGAATTTCCCACACCAGGAGTAATTTATATAGTTCTATTTTACAGCGATTATCTGTTCAAAAAATGTTCTATGCAAAATGTTCTATTAAAGAGATGATAGAAAATAAACATTTGTGTGTGCTGTAAAGTGGTTAGAAAAAATGAAATCGGAATCGGCTAAAATCGGTATCGGCAGGTCAAACTCAAGAAAAATCGGAAATCGGAATCGGCCTCGAAAATTGTAATCGGTGCATCTCTAATTTCAACCACATTCATCTCTCCCGAAGCTGTATGATGATGCCGTCAGTGCCAGTTACTGACCCACTGAACTACTTCACACTGCTGGAAATCTCTTATCAGAGTCACTGTCTGAACCAATGTTGCGTAGACATAAATGAATGTATATATATTTTTTTTTACAACTACTGATATATAAGTAGTGTACTAAAATGTGTGCAGTTTTGTTTTTATTTATTTAGCTATTGGTTAACTCATCATCACATTGTGTGCATGTAAATCTAAAGAGCTACGAGCAAAATAAACAACAGAAATTGTTGTTGGTCAGTTGGATTTCTCTTCCATATAACTGCAGCTTAAAGGGTTAATTCATCTCAGTTGGTCTTAGTTGCTCGACTGATTCAGACCATCCTGAGCCACAATATTTCTGTAAACGTGCATATAACAAATTTGTCGTGGGCAATGACACAAAAACGGCCTCTGTGGTAAAAAAAAGTGGTTTTCCAATACCAACTTTCTAAGTTTTGGACCAGTTTAGATGAACTGGTCCTAAACACTTTTAGAGTGGACAGAAAAATGACATGTCTCTGGAAACTTGTTACATTGTACATTAGCGAACATCGTACATTTCTGGTTTTAATATGAAAATTAACATTAAAAAAATAAATGATCAATATTAAATGGGGCTGCTCTCTCACTGGAATCTGGATCTGACAGACAATGTGGGCAACTTATATCAAGCAGTGAAATGAGCTTAAGAAGTGTGACTGGGTTCGTTCAGGATCAGATGTACTGTAGCATATTTGTTAAGGTTAATTGCACATACCAGGTGGTCTGGTAAGTAATCAAAGTAATGAAACACTATCTCCTCGGTTCATTGCTGACCTACTTGCTAAATAATGGTATTGTGTTGAATTGTCTTGTCTAGGTTGAGTTGCAGTTGTTTATTTGCATCCAGGGCAAGATTCCATCAAGTCAAGACACACACTGGTCGAGAGGCAACAATAGGTTAAGCTAAAAAGCTTGTAAAACAGTGTGTCTTAATGAATGGTCCCAGCAGTGTTGTGTTATATTGACAAAAAAGAAGCGAACCAAGAACTGAGCCTTGAGGTACCTCGTGGCCTACTGTAGCTGATGTGACCTGGAAGGATTGACCTGTGAAGTAGGACACAGAGTAAGAGTAGCTCCAGTGATGTCCAATGCAGAATAGCATAGACAGAAGAATCTGGTAATTCACTGTGCCACACGCAACAGAAAGGCGTAGCGGAATTATACGTTCTGTAATGTCTGTGATTATTGTCGATGTTGAAGTTTGTGTGTGTCTGCACAGGGTTTGCTGAAACTGCTTGAGGGAACGGTCATTAGTGTCCCAGAGAAGAACAGCAGGAAGTTGAGAGGAGAGACAGTGCAAGTGGACACAACCAACATCCTGTTTGTGGCATCGGGTGCGTTCAACGGCCTGGACCGAATCATCAGCCGGAGGAAGAATGAAAAGGTGATTGTTCTACAGGTCAATTATTTGCAGGTCGTTTGACTCTCAGTGTGTTATAGTTTCTTCTTGTGTCCTACAGTATCTTGGTTTTGGGACGCCCTCTAACATGGGCCAAGGGCGTCGAGCCGCAGCGGCTGCAGATCTGGCCAACAGTTCAGGGAATGAAGTGGACGCAATGGCAGAGATTGAGGAGAAGGACCGGCTCCTGCGGCACGTTGAAGCACGGGACCTCATCGAGTTCGGCATGATCCCAGAGTTTGTGGGCCGTCTGCCTGTGGTGGTCCCACTGCACAGTCTGGACGAGGAGATGCTGGTGCAGATCCTTACAGAGCCTCGTAACGCAGTGGTCCCTCAATATCAGGCCCTCTTCAGTATGGATAAAGTAGGTATACCACACACACGTGACATTCTGGGCACTTTCAAATCTAGTTATTTATCTTCTGGTTTTCTGATTTGTTGCCAGTGTGAGCTGAATGTAACCCCAGATGCATTAAGGGCAATTGCCCGTTTTGCACTGGAACGGAAGACAGGAGCCAGGGGTCTCCGCTCCATCATGGTAAACAGCAGAAAACATTCATTTAGTTACGAATGTTCTTGTAGTGTCTCTGATGTGTGTATTCTCTGGTCCTTCAGGAGAAGCTCTTGCTGGAGCCCATGTTTGAGGTGCCTCAGTCTGACATCATTGCTGTGGAACTGACTAAGGAGGTGGTCCAGGGAAAGTGTGAACCACGCTACATAAGGTACAACGAAAACATTTTGTTAAACGAAGTACCATTTTAATTCGTCTTGTTATTCACTACACTAACATTTACTATAAAAGGAATATTTTACCCAAACATTCCTAGCAATGTTCCATGAAAAAATACAGCAATGAATTAGGGCTGCCCCCTAATAGTCGCTATTACACGAGACGAGGCTTCGTCAACCAACATCTTATTAGTCAGTTAATCACAGGGAAAAAACTCCACAGGAAATAGTGAAGTCAACAGATCGTTGACTGTGGTAATTACAGTATGTCGAATCCAAACGTTCGCCTATCATCCATCGACCTCAAATATGGATTATCATCTGAAACATGCAAGTAACTTGGCCGCTCTAACGTTAACCTAGATAAATGTGCGCTATTATTAGGTGATATTATTAGGCTCTCCCTCCAAAGAAGGGAGAGCGTTTTCACATTTAGCTCCGAAGCTCTGGAATAGCCTTCCTGATATTGTTCGTTGCTCAGACTCGTTCTCCCAGTTTAAAACTAGACTAAAGACGCATCTATTTAGCCAGCCATTCATATACATTTTTTATCTTACAGTTACTGTAAATTCGGCCTCTACTTCATAAACGCCAGAGGAGAACTGGGCCCGACTGAGCCTGGGTTCTCCCAAGGTTTTTTTTCCTCCATTGGGTCACTTGATGGAGTTTTTCGGTTCCTTGCCACTGTTGCCTTTGGCTTGCTCAGTTGGGGATATTCAAATTAAATGACCCATCATACCACTGATCAGCTCTACCAAACTTGGATGTCTTTTCCAGTAATAAACAAACACTGTTAAGTTGTTTTGATTGATACTGTGAAGCAGCTTTGATACAATCTGTATTGTGAAAAGCGCTATATAAATATATTTGACTTGACTTGATATCCAAGTGTTTGTGCGGAGGGAGGAAGCTGAAGTATAGCGCACTTACTGCATGACATGGAGAACTTTAAAACCAATCAATTCAAATCGGACACGAATTATGAAATCTGAATGAAAGGTGCATTTCTCTAAAGGTCCACTACACAGCGGAGATGGTGAGTCGGCATCGTCAACTTCATCTTTTCAGCCGACACTGACTCAGAATACACTAGTTTATTAATAAATCATTTTTTCCGACACATTCATGCTCATGGGTATTCCCCCCGGTATATATTTAAGTAATTAAATGAATATAAACGTGAGATTAGTCGACTAATGGCTTAAATGAAGGACGACTAGAAAATCTTTAATCGGGGGCAGCCCTACTTTATTAGCATTTTTTTTTTAAGAATCAGTTATTCCTTTTAGTTCTTCAAATCACTTTGTAGATCTGTAACTTCCATAATCCATTCATTTATCCACAAAACTGAAGCATGAACAAACTGAGTGATTCTGTTATTTGGCTACTCAAAAAGTCTTTTGCCTTTTAAATATTTCATTTTAGAAGCCAATGAATTAACATAGTCCGTTTTAGATATCAGTATGTGCAAAATAAACGTTGATGTTTGTGTATTTGTGATCCAGAGCTCCCAAAGAAACAGAGGAAGAGTTTGAGGAAGACACCTGGATCAGGCATGCTGACGCCGCCAACAACTGAATGTGAAGCTATTGCTCCAGCATCATGTCATTATTGCTCAAGGCCGTAAAATGCCATCATGATGAGCCGGACCTAGACAGAGAGCGGTGTTTGTAGATTTTTAAATGACAGCACAATGATAACCAATTTAAAGAACACTTATTACCATTTAATATGGTACATTTAATAACCTAAAGAGGAAAGATATGAAAGTGTTTTTAAAATAAAATAAAAATACACTAACATAGTAAAGCTCTAGCTTATTTTCAATCTCTGGTGATCGGTCTAAAGAATTATTATGTTAATTGGTGATTTCTTTTCTTCTTTTTTTTGCTTTTTGTTGGTGTGTGAACATTCTAATGGAACTATACAGATTATGTGAAAATTTTAGTATTTTTGATGCATAATACAGCCATGACATTGGTCTTGTTTCAGCAGGACACACTCTAGCTCAGTGATATCGCACATGTGCTTCTCGTATGCCTCTGTTTTATCCCTGACGCTCAGTTCTACAGCACAAGCCTCTGTGTACAGTGTTACGTACATCTAGTTTTAGGTTTTTCCATTTTGAGACAACTGTTAACTTAATAACTGAACAAAAACAATGTGATAATAAACTTGACAGAAGTTGCACACGTTTTCTATGCAGTGGTAGTCATTGTGTACTCAAATCCCATTTTGGTTTCTGTTTAACTCTGTTCACAAATCAAAAGACAGTTCTATCATTTAAAGATTCCTCTGGGTTCTCTCATGTTCTCATTTTTCTGCCCACCATTTATTTCCTCTTTAATAACAGAAACCAAATCCTTTGAGATAACAACAGTAGCATGCATTTTTGAGTGATGAAAATAACTTTGGAAATGCCCTAAAGAACAAAGAAAAAAACAAGTCCTGTGAATTAATTTGTTTTTGTTTATGAGGCATTCATATCATATTCCTCCTTCATTGTCCCCAGGGTGGCAGCATAGAGCAACATCACTAGTATTATGTTTTGGGTCATTGCCAATTCAAATAATTAAGTAATTCAAAGTTAAATTCATAGTAGAAATTGTATTACCATGAGCATAGGCTTGAAAATACATCATATTATTACCATGAGACAGGCTGAATAGGAAAATGGCCATTTTGTACATGTATTAACAAAACAAAAAAAGGTTGCATGGTTGTCATGCTGTTCTTGTCCAATTAATGGTTTTATGTAATTACACCGTATAATGCTATTAAGTATGAAATTACACAAATAATGCTCCTTAAATTGTTGTAAGCCACTAGAATAGGTTCTACCTTTCACAACATTAACTGTTTTGCTAACAAATACAACAAGAAACCCAGTCGGAAGTAAATAAGCAGACCTCCAGGTTAATTTATTTTTAGCAGTGTGATACCGTCACATAATATAAAGAAATACATTTTTTATTAAGCATAAAATAAGTTAAGGCTTTAGTTATTTATGTGGTCAACATAGCGGAATACATTGAAATGTCCTGCAGTATAACATGTTAAATCCATCTAAATTACTTTAAACAGTGTTTACATTTTTATTATTATTATTTAGGCAGTTTTTATGACCATATTAATTCAAAGACTATGTGGATTTTTTTTTTTAATCCATTTGTCACATCACTGGTCTATTGAAATGTATAGTGAAATAATTATGAAATCAAAAAGCTGATTTAAAGAGGTTTAAGGGGAAAAAACAGTGACCGGTTACAGCATCAAAACCTGCAAGCATGAACTCGTTCCCTTATACAAATATATAAACTTTAAGCTAAAAAATGTTGAAAAATAACGTCATTTGTCCATTGGTCAGCTATACCCAAATATTACACATCCCTTTATTCCTTATACATTTGACATATCCCTGAGATTACAAACTTAGTTTGACTGCAGAACAGTGACAGGAGAGAATTTGAGAATAATGAAGTTGTAGGTATAAGAGACACTGGATGTATAGGAAATGTTCGGTGTCCAGAGTGTCAGTGGTGATACTGCCTCCTGTCCACAGTCATCCTCCTCATCACGTCGCCGCTGAACTGGTACGTGAGTTTCTTCTTGACCTTTTTGACCTCGCCGGTCTTGCCGTAGTTGCGCAGAGCCCTGGCCATCTTCTGGTAGGTCATTCTCTTGCGGTTGCCCTTCTGCTGACCCCAGCGCCCGGCGAGTGTCTCCTTGTGTTTGGAGGAGAACTGAAAGATGCCTCGCTCTCGGTCCACCCACCAGATGCAGTCCCGCATGTCTCCGTCCTGCAGGAGGTCCAGGAGGAACTGATAGAGACGCACTTTCCGTTTGTTTCCTGTAGAAAATGACTCATTTTAAAGTCTGGCTGGCACACAATCCCTTTGGCTTCCCTTTTGATACGAATTTCTTTTCAAACACAAATTTTAAAGGGATATTGTGGGTTAAGTACACTTTGAGATCTGTAGATAGCATTAGTGAACTGCTGTTAATTACCATATAAATGTGCATACAATAATGTTTATGGGGAAAGATATTCTGGAGTGTTTAAAAAGTAGAAACCTGGTATTTTGGTAATGTTCTTATATTAAAGGGATAGTTCACCCAAAAATTCAAAATCCCAAATCCAAAAATTCAATTATCCCACGATTTACTCACCCTCAAGCCGTCCTAGGTGTATATAACCATCTTCTTTCAGATGAACACAGTTGGAGAAATATTTTAAAATATCTCTTCCAAGCTTTATAATGGTAGTGAATAGCGGTTCTTATTTTGAAGTCTAAAAAAGTGCATCCATCCATCATAGAAGTAATCCATGCGACTCCAGGGGGTTAATAAAGGCCTTCTGAAGTGGGTTTTTGTAAGAAAAAATATCCATATTTAAAACTTTATGAACTAAAATAACTAGGCAGACGGCCTATGCAAGTCGAATTACGCCAAAAGAGTGACCCGTGACGCATGTGTGATGTAGGAGTAGCGTAAGTTTAGACGCCTCTCGCGGTTCAAACAAACTCAAGCTCCTCCGACATCTCTCTTTAAAAACTCTCGTTTTAGACTTTCAATTCATGACTTGTGTTTTGTTTTGCTCTATCCGCTGCACTTCCGCGTTCATCAATGCGTCGGGTCAAAGGTCACTCTTTCGCCGTAAATCGATGCGTACGGTCGTCTGCCGGAAGCAAGTTATTTTAGTTTTACATATGGATATTTTTCTTGCACATTGCTTCGCTTCAGAAGGCCTTTATTAACCCCCTGGAGTCGCATGGATTACTTTTATGATGGATGGATGCACCTTTTTAGACTTCAAAATCAGGACCGCCATTCACTGCCATTATAAAGCTTGGAAGAGCCAGGATATTTTTTTATATAACTCCGGTTGTGTTCATCTGAAAAAAGAAAGTCAAATACACCTTGGATGGCTTGAGGGCGAGTAAATCATGGGGTAATTTTCATTTTTCATTCACTATCCCTTTTATAATACATACTTTTGAAATAATAAGAGTGTTATGGTAGTATGCTACAGTTTTGTAGTCCGAGACACACCTCATGTTGGACTGGGGCTCGAGAGCTCACCTGAGAGAGTGCTGGAGGTGCACGGGTGTCCGTCGTGGTCCTCCTCTCCTTCGGACACCTCAAAGGGTGGACTGCGTCCCCCGGGGTCCTCCTCATCAGTACTGCAGTGGGGGAGCGGGGACCGCGGGTACAGCGCGTGGGGGACGTACGTATACTGTAGAAATACACCAACAGTCCTTAGTCCTACCTCCATATGAAGGTTATCATGCTAACTATGACACAGGAACTCACAAAATCAAGGCAATCAATGACCAACTCAAGAGAAAACATGATTTTTAATTAAAAAAAAGCATGAACCTGCAACCCTAAATCTAACCCCCAGTGGGGCGTGAGTAGGTTATACGAAAACATGTGAATGAGATTGTACGAATTCATACGTATTTGTCAACAATTTGCCAAAGCATAAAATAGTTTTTTTTTTTTAAATGTCATGAGACTCATTTCATTGGATAAAGCGAAATATAAAGCAAAATGTCTGACAAATGCAAATGAGCAAGCAATGTTTTTTTTCTGAAAAGTTTATCAAATGTACATTCCCACACTTATTTTCGAGCAGAAAATGCTGGTTTAGCATGATCTTATATTAGTGGTACCAAATACTTGGAAACCACAGAATTGCTCTTCATTGAAAGAGGAAGTGGAAAAACTCAGTGTCAACAGAAAGGGACACACAATGATGTGGTCCCAGATTTACAAATCAAGTGCACATCACGTTTTGCTTCCAAATCGTCCCGGAGAGCCACAAAGTTTCAATTCTATCAGCAGAATCCTACCAAACAAACTTTTTATATGGCCTGTTTATTATTTAGCTATATTCGTAATCATAGGGTGTATCTAAAATGAAAGTGTACTCTTATTTTAAACTCGTTTAAAGAGATAGTTAAACACACGTAATACGTTTATCCATTCATCTCATTGACAGTTGCTCGGCTGTTAAATCTCTGCCCTCCAGCTTTCAAATCTCATTCAAAAATGCTGTGCCTAAATGCATTGAGGCAAGGGGTAAAGTTTTGACTGGTTAGCATGATAAAGTTAAGTTAGTATACTTTGAGATGTCGCAACTAGCAAAAAACAAACTATCAAACAAAACATTGGTCTCCATTGTTGGATGTTCAGATGTAACCTTGTTTATTGATGAAATGGATCACACATATTTGATTGCACTATCGATGCTTTGCCAGAGAGCAGTGTTTGTGCAGGGCAAGTTCAGTCGCTAATGACGCACTTCAGCCATCAACTAATCAGGACGCCATTTTACTGTGGACCATAAGGGCCCTTACATAGTCAACGCATCGGTACGCATACGCGTGCGCAAGGCTACACATCGCTACGCTTCGGCCGCCATTATGCGTCGATGCGTAGCCAAATGTGTCATCCTAGTTTTTGATACGCGACGCGCCGATGCACGCAATACTATGCGTTGTCGGTGGGGGCGACATTGCAAGTAATGTACATAAAAAGGTATATTATTATGTTTACAGAAGAAGAAGATTTGAATACAATGGCGGGCGAAGAGGAAAAGTTATGCGAGCTTGTTCGTATACATCCTTTGTTGCCGCCGATGTAAAATCAGCAATATGCACTCCTCTTCAGTTGCCATTTTGATCTGAATATTACGTGACCCGACTCTAGACTCTACTACCCCCTGCTGCGCGATTGGTGTATTGCATTTCACGCATCGCGGGTGACGCTTGTGTACTATGAAAAGGAGCGCGTAGCTCGCGTCGCTCGCGTTGCTCGCGTTGACTATGTAACGACCCTAAGCCTCGCGGTGTTACGGCTCAGCGGATTGGCTCAAAATATATATTTCTGGAACTTAAAAAAAAAAAAAAAAAATATATATAGCGGCAGATAAAGGGCCAGATTTACTGACCCGGGCAAATTAGCTCGATTCACTCTACCGACGACGAGCAGATTAAAGAACACTCAGCCGGATCATTTCCATAATGACCGACACAATCTACCAAGAGCAGCACAAATCAGCGTCTGGTTTTAGACATGCTTTTTTTTTTTTGCGGTAAATAATGATGCAAAGACCAGTAAATTCACGAGCACAAACCTTAGTAAATCACCTTGCATGATTCATTTAAATATTCTCCTCCCGTAGATTTTGCGTCTGAAAGGGAATCTCCTACAAATGCAAATGCGATAAGATCAGCCGCAAAAATAACCCTGCCCACGACTTTACAGCGCTAATTTTTGCAGTGGATGCAGCCGGTGTAGACGTGATGTCAGTGTGTACGTTAGAGTTAGGAGGAGTTAGTGTTTGTTCCAGTGTTAGGCCTATAGGCAGTCATCACTGGGATTGACAGGACTAATAACTGGCACTAACTGGTTTGGGGAAAAATCATGCATGATCTTAAACAACAACAGAAGCTAAATTGTATGGAATTAGCCTAATTTTATGAGGCTTGTATTGTGTTTTTTTGTCATTTTTGAAGCTTTACAGCACCTAATTCACTTTTGTTTTATGGAGAAGAGCAGCTCGGATATTCTGCTAAACATCTTCATTTATATGCCGAACAAGGCCAATCTGATGGGTTTAGAACAAAATAAACTGATCATTATTTTTTTAATTGTTAAAAAATATATTTTTTCTTTACAGTAATTGTACTGTATGTTTGTGACCTGCTCTTGGTCAGAAATTTACATTCAAATGGCTTATTTTACTAAAGCAAATTCAAAACTCCTAGTTTGCATTAAACTCGGAGGCTGTCATGAGGTTTGACTGTGATTGTGTTTAGCGAACGTTGTGTGTGTGTGTGTGTGTGTCATTGTGTAGCAGCAACAGTCTTCAGTCAGGAAAGACAGAGTTGAGCAATCAGTCTGTCTCCTCCACTCACATCCTGTCCATCTCTCTTTCTTTTCCTTTGTCATTTCTTTCTCTCAGACCTTTTCACTGATTGCAGTACTCTGTTTGTTACTTAATTAATATTAATAATTAATAATAAAAAGGAATATTCATTTCTAATTTTTAGTAATGACACTCCTAATGTCTTTCTTATTTTATATAATATTATTGTACAGTTAATAGTCAACACACTAAAATCTATATTTTCCCAGCAACAAAATAAATAAAAAACGCTTTTAGGCTTCAAACCCTTAAAAAAGGATTTTAGGCTTCATATAGGAAAACAGAACCATTTCAGTACATAAGATTCAAATAATTAATTAAGTAAATATAAGAGATGTTATACCATTATGACACTAACCTGTGGAGGAATCACAGGTAGAAGTGTTCCCATCCCTGCATCCACAGACGGGTGGAAGGACTCCACGTCTCCATAGCGGTATGTGGTGGGATGAAGCTCGGTGAAATGGTTTCCTTGAGGCGGCTCAAACTCACTGTGATGAGCGTGAACACTTGTGTAGTCCCAGCCACTTTCTTCCATGAGAAACAGCAAGGAGAACAAAACTGAGCTCAAAGTTCACTTAAAAACGGCTTCTTTTGATTGTTTTTCTGCTGTGAAATGACTTGTTTTATTACAGTCTCAGTGACCAACAAACCAGTCCCGGACATTCAGAACCTCAGACAGACAATCAGTGGGACATCACACTATAACAAGAATCACAAATATATATTAAGAAAACTCACCGGGATGAGTCTCCGGGTCAGTACTGAGATACGGGTAGAAGTCATATATCGGCCGGGGGTCATGGTCGTACGGAATGATTTCTTCAGACAACTGAAAATACATTCAATTGTTTTTCTTTCACTTTTAAAATGTGTTACAAATTTACAAGATGTTGTGTCACTAACTGACTCCATAAATTCGACTTCTATAATTACACTATGCCCAACTTAATTACATAAAAAAAATAGAAGAAGAAAAAAAAGATACAATTTTGTTGAAATTGGAAAGACAAAGAGAATACAATCTCATATACTTACAGGAGAAATAACACAGCTTTCCATTCTGTAATGCAACATGAAGCCCTTCAATCATATAACTTCTCTTGTGGTGTCTATCTCACAGTTTCACACTTATTTACAGAATATTGCATAACGTGGAAATTACTTCACAAGAGCGCTGTACTGTGGTATCTCTTTTCAAATGGGCAAATCTTGTTTTTAAACTCTTCTGCCTTCAGCTTCACTGTTCTGGTGTAAAAAAAGACTAAATTTCCTGTATCGCCCATGAGCGATTAGCCTGACTTTACTGACAGATCTGGCCTCTGATAGGTCAAATGTGGCGATGACTCGTGATTTTTCATCTGTGACACTGTCAAGGGATGTCAACCAATCATGATCCAGTTGATGGGATGGCCTTATGTGCATCTCCACCTTCTCTTAGATTATTAATATCTTATAATTATTATCTGGTATTAGAAGAGTTGACAGATGATGCATTTTTGACCAAAAAAGTTCATTTTAGAAAGATTATTGAGTGAATTGAATGAGGTAGGCCTTCATTAAACGGCATCAAAATTTCTACTACAAAATAGATTTTTTAAACGATTTTTTTTGAGGTCTTACTCATGGATTATAGTCAACAGTTTTGCACCATTGTGCTAATAAAATCCATTGAGTTGTATTTGTAATGACTCGCACGAGCAGTAATCCAGCTTCTGGAAAACCCTCAGTCTCTCTGAGTACGGTGAACAGGCCGTGATGTTGTGGCCTCGAGTCAGTCAATGAGAGGGACATTTTTACATGTGCTATTGTCTGAGAATCATAAACTTCAGCGTTTGGCCAAAGTGAAGTTCCGAGAGAACTTTGTTCCCTTTTTAATCAAAGCATTGTACTGTTATCATAGGTTTTGAGGAAGCAACTACTATTGCAGCAGAGACAAATGTATTATTCTGTGTTTGACTTGGATTTTCATATGCTAAACTCAATTGACATTAGGTAGTTGTTTTGAAAGGGGGAAATCTATCTATATATCTATCCATCTATCTATCCATCTATCTATCTATCTATCTATCTATCTATCTATCTATCTATCTATCTATCTATCTATCTATCTATCTATCTACCTATCTATCTATCTATCTATCTATCTATCTATCTACCTATCTACCTATCTATCTATCTATCTATCTATCTATCTATCTATCTATCTATCTATCTATCTATCTATCTATCTATCTACCTATCTATCTATCTATCTATCTATCTATCTATCTATCTATCTATCTATCTATCTACCTATCTACCTATCTATCTATCTATCTATCTATCTATCTATCTATCTATCTATCTATCTATCTATCTATCTATCTACATAGTACAACTAAAAAGTACTCTTAGTACTAATTTCCGCTAGCTTTTTCTTGTTGACTCAACTTTTGTAAATAACAGTTATACGAACTGAAAATAAGTTGTCTGTGACAAAAAAAAAAAAAAAAAACCTGTTTAGTTGAGTCAACTTGACATTATTTGTTTTCTGGAGAGGTGCAACTATTCTGTAACAAATCTTTTGTAGGTGAGCCAATTCAACATTTTTTGTCTATTGGAATTTTTTTTTATTGAAAATCATTTGTTCATCACTGTTTTGGTGACGAGTGTTTCCTTTGGTTGGTCAGTTTGGCTTTTTGTGTGAGTTTGTGGTCTTTGAAACAGTGTTTAGAAAAACACATAATTTGTTGCTATGAGAAAGAAACCAAGATGATCAAGTTTTCAGCCTCATAAACTAGCATAAATCCCTAAACCTTATTTCCGACCATAAGTGATTTTTTTTAATTAATATTTTACCAGCAAAACTTTCTTGCAGCAGATCAGACATTCTGGATTCTGATTTTAAAATACATTATGGGGAAAAAAAAGTCTTTTGACACACACACAGACATCAAGAATCAGCATATGAATCTCAACAATGGTGACATGCTTCATGCCGCAATGCATGCTGGGAGCCACCATAGTATTAAAATCATGGCTCCCAGCATGCATTGTGGCATGAAATATGTCACCATTATTGAGATTCATATGCTGATTCTTGATGTCTGTGTGTGTGTCTAATAAAAAAATTCCCTCAATGTATTTAAAAATCAAAATTCAGAATGTCTAATCTGTTGCATAAAAGTTTTGTTGGTACACCTAATGTATTATTCACAAATCTTTTGATCAGGAGTAAGAGTAGTGACCTATATCCTTTTTGCTGTTATCTATCATTTTTTATGGCTTTCTTTGCAACAAATTATATGCTTTGCTAAACACTGTTACAAAGACCACAACACCACATAAATGCCATGTGACCTAATAAAAAAATAAATAAATAAAAACCTACATCTGAACCTGTTTATTCTTAATAAGAACTTCTGTTTCCAATAGACAAAAAATGTTGAATTGGCTCAACTACAAAAGATTTGTTACAGAATAGTTGCATCTCTCCAGAAAACAACAAGTTGACTCAACTAAACGTTTTTTTTTTTTTTTGTGTCACAGACAAATTATTTTCAGTTCGTATAACTGTTATTTACAAAAGTTGAGTCAACAAGAAAAAGCTAGCGGAAATTAGTACTAAGATTTTTTTTTTTGTTTTAACAGTATGGATTTTTGCTGAACCAACACAACAAAATTAGTCATTTCAACTTTTTTTTTATCTATCTATCTATCTATCTATCTATCTATCTATCTATCTATCTATCTATCTATCTATCTATCTATCTATCTATCTATCTATCTATCTATCTATCTATCTATCTATCTATCTATCTATCTATCTATCTATCTATCCATCTATCTATCTATCTATCCATCCATCCATCCATCCATCCATCCATATCTATCTAATCCCCTAACCCTACGTATCACAGAAAACTTTTTTACATTTTCAGAAAACATCAGTTATTATGATTTATAAGCTGTATTTCTCATGCGGACCAAAACAAGTGCAAGGATTTCGGATCTTATACCCACATCCAGGGACATTCTTTTTCCATAATGTATGAATCAAGTGTATGACTTGACTTGACTATAGGGTATACCTGAACTACACACACACACACACACACACACACACACACACACACACACACACACACACACACACACACACACACACACACACACACACACACACACACACACACACACACACACACACACACACACACACACACACACACACACACACACATTGTGTTTTCATGTTTTATGGAGACTTTCCATAGACAGAATGTTTTTTATACTGTACAATCTGTATATTCTGTCCACTTACACTAACCCTACTGCTAAACCCAGCCGTCACACAAAACTTTCTGCATTTTTACATTTTGAATCACTTAGTATGATTTATAAGCTTTTTTTCTCATGGGGACCAAAACATGTCTCCACAAGGACAAGGATTTCGGATCTTACACCCACATCCAGGGACATTTTGTCTCCATAATGTATAAGGTATACCTGAACCACACACACACACACACACACACACACACACACACACACACACACACACACACACACACACACACACACACACACACACACACACACACACACACACACACACACACACACAGTAATTGGGGAAGTTTGCAACTTTCACATTCACTTCCCTAAATGTAAATGTGACAGCCTTAAATGGACACTTGTGTAATGTCATCTCTTTTCTGGAGTTGAGTACTCTGCAAGTATTTTATTTTTGTATTTAAAAAAAACCCTGACCTTTATTGAGTTTAATTGTTTTTTTGTTTGTTTTTTACGTAATATAACAATATAATAAAAGAGCTAAGATTCTGATTGTGTTCTGAGTTATATGAAGTGGCATTTTGAAATGTTTAGTTTTGATCGAGCTGACCCGCACACACTGACTCCTGAGTGGGAACCCAAAGGTTTTGTCTGTGTGCTCTGTTTTCCCAATAGTGCATTGCAGGGTATTTTCAGGCACCACAGGAAGTCCGTTACATCTACACACACACGCACACACTCTCATACACAGTCACTGTCTCTATTGCACAACAGCCTGAAGTGTTGTATAACTGTCTCACTCTAGAACAGAGGGCAATAGACGCACAACACCGCAACATTAAGCTTCATAAGATTTACATTTATAAGAATACTGTATATTGTTAACAGTAATCACTAAAAACTTTCCTTACAATAAAGAAAAAGAAAAAGCAATGACAATAATGTATGTAAAATGGTAAAATCAAATAGAAAACCGTTGGGAGTTTTTTTGTTGTTGTCATAAGACCTATTAGATATGCAGGTTATATTAGGTGTCTTTAACTATTATGCACTTGCATTAAAAAAATACGTACAATGTTTATTGTGTTGATGTTGTACTGCAAAACACTCTTGCTGATACTGAGGTGGATACGGGGAAGGTTAGGGACAGGTTTGGTGGTTCAAGGGTGGGTTAAGGTGGAAGGAAAGGTCAACATTATAATTATGGAATTAAAGAAATTAATTACATCTGTAATTACATTTCGGATCTTTCTTTTATTTTAAATACAATGTAAAAACATGTATTTACACAATAAGTGCATTGTATCACACGATTACAGTTTTTTTTAATTGCTTACAAACAATGTCTATTGTAACTATGGCTCCTTTTCTCTAAACTCTACACACAAAGCAACAAAACACACACACACACATGCAAAACATCACACATCTCTTGCAAAAGCAAACACTTTATGCAAAACTATTTCAACTCTTTTTCAAATTTCAAAAATTGTGTTTTTGTATAGAACTCTACACACAAACCATCAAATGATTCGCCATATACATGCTAAGCTACACAGATATGAAAAATGTAAAACACTGTTATCTTGTGTCTTTTGTTTGTTCGGTGTGACACATTTTGGTAACAGGGCTTTAACAATTACAAACCTAATTCATAACATAAAAAAAGAGAACTCGTGTAATCTGATTTAACCTCTTAAGGTTGCCAATCAATATTCTTTGTTCAGAAGTTACCATTAACCATTTGTTGAAAAGGGTAATACATATCTTAATTTTTTCAGGCCTTATTTTTTTGCACCTTATTTCTGGAAAGTGCCTTGTGTAACTTGGATGCCACAAATGTAAAAGCACAGCTCTCTATAATGGAGATACCATACATCTAAAACACACGTATCACAGGGCATGATGAGTGAGTCATACGGGATGACCGTAACAAAGGCGATGAGATGAACGACAGCTGTTGTCTTGGTCTTTATCTCTGTGAACAAACTTCCTGTAGGTTACAGCCACTCCAGCCATGATAACCACACTGCACTCTGACTAGCCACACGTTTAA